TGGTTGTTGTTGGGAAACATTTTGCATTTTTGCTTACTGTGCCAGTTTTTTTTTGCTCCTCTTCCACCGTCAACCAAGTTTTCGGATTCAAAAAGAAGCTCCCCTTCCAACGTCAACCATGTGCGACGGTTGACCGGAAGGGAGCTTCAGTGCGCCGCTCTCCGATTCTCAGGCAGGCAGATGCGCGCCGCCGCCGCCGCGCGGCGCAGCAGCAGGTGCGCTTTTGGCTCTAGCCCGGCGCCCAAGGTGGCGCCGTTTTTCCCCTGGTGGCTCCGCCGGCGTTTCCAGGAGAAAGCCGCGAACAGACACGTTTGTTTTGCCCCATGGGGGGTTGTCGAGGATTCATTCCTAGTGGTCGGGGTGTGATACTCAGTGTGCTTCTCGGGGGTTAGCCGCCCTCTCTTTTTTGCCCCGGTGGCTCCTGTGGCGTTTCCCGGTGGACTTTGGGAGTGGGAGCTTGAGACATGGAGCTTGAGTCCCCTCTACGAGCTGCGCCCATGGGCTTGGAGCTTCGTTGGTGTTTCAGAGTTGGCAATCCCTGGTATAGCTAGAATTACTGACGAGGCCCTTTGGCACTCAACTCCTCACCTAGGCCGGCTGCTGCGCTGAGTGAGGCGTGCTTGCAGAAATTCATCAGATGTTGTGGACCAACGGTTTTCAAGAGCTTGGACGCCTTAAAATGTGGCACACAGAGCTACACCGAGTGCGCTCCCGGCACTTCATTTGTGAGACATGCCGCCCCTTTTTTTCTGGGAGTGCTTGCGGCCGCAAGAGTGCTCGTTTTGATCCGGCTTGTTGAAGGCTCCGCGGCATGGCCAGCGTGAACTTCTAGTGACCAGTCCTGTTGGCACCTTCAGGTCCTAACCCAGGCGGCTTCAAATGAAGATACTTCTGTTGTTTGCCACGACAAACTCCTATGGCTATGAATTTAAATAGGGAACCCCCTCAAAAGTGGCTGGTCCACCAAGGGGTCCCCAATTAAAATAAGCACCCAATTTGATTACTGCAAGACGGCCCATATCTGGTGCTTTACAGGAGTGGTTTTGGCCAGGCCTGTCTGGAGTCAACTTGTCCGGTGCTGGAGCTTTTTTGCACACCCGTTTCATCCTACTGTGACTTTTGGGGCTTCCTCAGGATGACTCCTTAGTCAAATGGTTTTCTTCACATTTGTGAGACAGGTACAGCCTCCGGGCCCACATGGCACCAGGTTTGGAGGTCGGGCTTTCCAACACATTCGACTCAGCAGATTCCGACGGCTTGACGATTCCTGGTGCCGCTTGGGCCCCCCGGCCAACAAAAAGGCCAGGCCGCCCGAAACGGCGGCCTGGCGTTTCGCGAAGCTTTGGGCTCTCTCGTGGTTGCTTCAGGGTTGGGAAGGGCCTGGAGGGCTGCGAGAGCTGGGACTTTCCAGACAGTCGGGAGTTTCCTTCGTTCGCATCTGGGAGTCGGGAGTTTCCAGACGCCGAAATACCCTTCGTCGTTCGCATCCAAGGCCGCCTTTTCGAAAAGGAGGGCGTGAGTTTGGGCGTGAGTTTGGGCGAGTTTGAGGCGTGCGGATTTCAAGGTGACCAGGGAAGAACGTGGGGGTTGATTAATATTCCCTTTGGCCCCAAATTGGTGCTCATCTTCTTCGTGGTTTCCAAGCAATGGTCATCCCATGTCATCCGGAGCTTTTGATCAATGGAATCAACCCGCACGTGTCTGCCCGCCCATCCATGGGTCAATGGGAGTACTAGCCAGGCCGGTCCAGCATCAAAACCTTCGATTTGTGCGGCGGGATGTGCCAAATGCTTAGCCATGGTCAAAACATGGTCGGGAAAGCGTGGGGGAAAATAGGGTCGATGAATCGCGATTCTGTTTTTAAAGGCCAGCAGCTGTTTCTTCTTCAGCTTTTCGTTTCGTTACAAGGGTCTGTGCCAACTCAACGTCTCTTGCGTTGGCGTAAAAAGTGAACCAATGTCACTACAGCAGCCAATGGCTTTCAGTTCGCTTTACGCCTTGTTGCTCGGGTTGTGATTGGTGTGTCATTTTTAGGGAATTGTTCAAATGGTTTTCCCATTGGTTTCCCTTTGTAAAAACTGTCAAAAGGGCTACCCTCAAAAAGACACGCCCGCTTTCCAGATACAGCGCAATCCTTGTGCCAACGGCTTCATGCCACCGGCCGGCTCACCGCTAACCGTGATTCTGACGATTGGTCAACCGATTCTTAGCATAGACACTCCGTGGCCATTCTTTGGAGGTCAATTTTGAAATGGTCGTGTTGACTGTGAAGGCAAAGGGCTTAGTGCTTGATCATTTGACTTTCAGCCAAGTACACTTTGTTTGCCCCGGAGCCCTCCAGGAGAAGCTATGATGTTTTGGGGCCTGTCGACCGTCACACTTCGATGTCTCTCTGACATGAGTTGGTTGACCAGGAATTGCGAGAGGCCTCTTGCAAGCAAACCATTTGTGTGGGCGCTGGAGGCAGCTCACAAATGGCCGTGGTTGTCAAGACCGTTTTGGATCCCATTTTGGTTGGTAGGTATATTCACCACCCATTTTCGGCTTCCTATTGTAGTGGTTGGATTGGGATGTAACCACTGGGGGGTTTCCATCGGATTTTGACCCATGGCCAAATTAGAAGCGTGCTTGTTTGCGGCAAGCTGACAGAGAGCACAGTCCCTGCCCTCCTTTCAAGTCTAATCTGCATAGCACCCTTCCATCTGAACTCGTCTTGTCAAATTCAAGTGAGTCACAATCAAACCCGGGGATTGAGGAAGGTTAGTAAGGGACGATCCCAACCAGAAATAGCTGCGGCCGCCTTCTAAATTCTTTACATGGTTGGTTTTGATTGTGACTCAAGTGCGGAAAGATTGAGCACGCGACCATGCTAGAATCGATGAACACTTGAAAGAAGAGGATGCACAATGGCGCAAAATGCCAGGTGCACGGCACGGCTGTCTCCCTTGGGAGTTTTATAGCGGGCGGGCTGGTTTCAACCTTCGTCAACCGGCGACGGCAAGACGCCGCAAGCGACATGTCCGCATAAAGGCATCGCCTCCCGAAAGCGAGAATCATGGCCGGGCTATTGGGGGGCTACTGATATGCCCAGGATAAGCCCAGCACAAGCCCAGGAGAAGCCCAGGCGAGGGCTTCAGGGATAGCCCCATATCCCCCTGGAAAGTCCAAAGAAAGACTCTCTTTTCGAGTTGGGCTAGAGCTCGCGTTCGTTACAGGACGAACCGCAGAGACCGAGACATACTTGCAGAGGGCTCCATTCCAAATGGCGAACGAGTCCGTGATACAGTTCACCAACGACTGCGTCTCCGAGCGCTTGAGACTTGCCACTTGCGATATTCTCCATGCAGACTGTGGTTTGGCGTCTGCCCGGAGTCTGAGAGGCCGCACCCGAAGGAAAAGAAAGTCTCAGACAATGTGATGGAGAGGTCTCAGCCCCAGTTTTATCCCACGAGGTTTACCCACTTGGAGATCAAGGGCTGAAGTTCTGAGGTGGGGCGCGGACCTCTTTGAACAAAAGGCTAGGCGAATACATTCACCAAATACATGTCGGTCATCTTCGGCTCCGCCAAACTGAGAACCAGGACCCAGGTATGTTAAGCCCCATTGGAGAGCTTGGCGAAGGCGATATGTTTGCCAATCGAACGTATCACCACCGCAGGCGTGCAAATTCGATTCCGATTTCCCGTGGCGCAACTGCAAACGCCGGCGCAGCATGGCTGCCTCTACCATCTAAATCTGTGGCAATTGTGTTTGGCTTTCAAACAATGGCGCGGATCAAAGCAAAAAGGAGGTGTGCATTTCAGTTGCGCGATCCGGGCACAATGCCAGGGTCAAAGGACCGCCTGTTGCAACTGTATCTTCAGTTGCGCACACTGGGCAGCCTCGGTCACGCACGTATTTAGGATGTGCCAAAAGTGCGAGTTTGACAGAGAGCAGGGGCATCGGGGCGGCGAATTTGCAGGATATGTTTTGAATGCTCGGACATCTAAGACGCGCACTGAAACCTGTGCCAAGAGTGAGTGAAGCCGATTGCGCTTGAGCAAAAATTATGTATGATACCAGGTAGCCAAGCTTGGCAATGCTCCGTTGGGTTTTAAAAACCAGTGGCAAGCTGGAACCGGGCACATGTCTGATGCTCACTTTGGGTCTTGGAGCTCGGGAGGCTGCATTGGGGGATGTTGGGCGCATGAATTGGGGGATGTTGGGCAGCAGTTCGGTGGGGATTCATGTCCACCAACCACTTTTGAGGTTGGCCATGAAGATTCATAGGCATTTGAGTTGCGGAGGTGCTGTCAAGCACGTCGCAAGATTTGGACGATCTGAATGCTCATCGGGGCACCCATGTGGGAACTCCCACGGAAACAGTGCCCGGGCATGAAGCTGTTGGTTGCCAGGAGTCAGACGAGCACACGGGTGTTCAGATCAAGCTCGGGCGTTTGCAATCAGTACGCATGACACAAAGAGTTTGCTCCGTGACACCAACATATCTGCACATTTCCATGTTTGCATGCTCTGGATGGACAACATCCTGCATGGAGGACAGCCTAATACAGTAAACGACCAACTGGTGCGAAGTGGATGTTGTCCGTGCGCTTGCGTCCACATTTTGTAACCTTGTCACTAGCAACTTGCACCCGAGGCCTCCTGGCGAACCTTTCTGAAGTTTAAGGAGAACTGTTCCCCAAAAATCTGATGTCCATCTTGGGTTTCGGAGTGACAGAATTTCGGATCCACCCCGGAAAGAATCCCCCAACATCTGATTCCCATTTCAAACTCCCATGGGACCATAGGCCTTTTTGGTTGGAAGAATAGATGGCCCTGGTTTACCTGGTAGTTTCATCTACCAGGGAAACCCATCTATTTCCCCTAGAAGGACACCTATGCGTGGACTGGCAGAATTTCGGATCCATGCCGAAAAAAGCCAAAAATCCCAACATCCACCATCTGCTCCCCCTATGTCGAGATCGATCCCATGGCCCCGGAGATGTCCCGCTCGCCAGATTTTGGGGAGCGCCGTCTTGCGCTTGACCTTCACCTGGGCCCTGCGCAGCGCCAACGCCCCCACGGCGCGGGGTTTGGGGCGGGCTTGGGGGTCCGTTGGTTGGCAGGTTGGGGGGGGAGGTTTGTGCGGTCCGCTTCGATTTGGGGGGCTTGTTTTTTTTTGTTTTTTTTTAAGGTTTGGGGCCCTTCTGGGGTGGGGTGGTTTGAAGGGATACTTGTTGCTTCTTTTTTTGCTGGGGGGGGGGTTCCTTTATTGCACTTGCTGCATTGGGCCTGACGGGCTCGGGAAATTGTGGGCTGCATGCCTTGCCAGCTGCGTGAAACTGGCTGGCTTGGGCGGGCTCGGCAGGCGAGGGCCGAGTTGCTGTTGAAGTCGGCTGGCTTGCCCGCTGCATGAAGCATGAACTGGCTGGCTTGCGCCGAGCGGAACTGCAAGCTTGGCTGAGCTTGGAGGCTGTTGAGTCTGGGAGCTGGGGCTGTTTCCTGACGCAGGGGCACGAACTAGGTAAAGGCCGCAGGAACCCGGTTGGGCTGCGCCAAGGCTGGCGAGGATGGAATTTGGGAAGGTATCAAGGTATCTGTGATCTAAGCACCTGGCCTTGAGGGCCAAGGCGAATTTTGAGACACACCCAGCCTTTTCATCGGTTTGGATGCGCAGGGAGAGCCCAACTGCCATGCATATCATATGTAGGAGTAGCCTGTCAACGTAAGAGCCTCAAAGCATGGCTGATTTTCCTTTGAGACATGGCGCGAGCCTGAGTCTTCCTATCTGCCTTTCATGGCGCAGGGCCCTTGACAGAAATCCTCTTACCGACTGTTCAATTGAAGAAGGTCACATTTTTGGGATCCTAACTTAGGGTTCCCTGTGTTTCCTTTTGGGCTTTGGCTTGCCATTTTGCAGGGTGATGTAGGCGGAAACGGGGAGACCCCAACTAAATCGCCAGGTGCAGCTGGTGAATGCTGTTGCCGTGCCCTTCGGCTCTGCTGTGCTGATGCTGCTCTCGTCGGGGCTCCTGTGCCAAATTTCAGCGCTTTCCAGACATAGTGTAGAGCTGGTTTTAAAATCATGACTGAAGAACGCAACGAGAATTCCAGCTCTGCAACTCGGACGGGTGGCAGAGGACTTGGGCGACGGGTTGAGGGATGCAACTGGCGTCTAAAGACAGGCACGGGGAATTGTGCAGGGAACTGCCGCGGTAGATGCCTGCGCAATTTGCTCCGATACACGGCGACTGTCCAAAAGAAACGTTTTCGCAAATATACCATATATGGTGACTCATTTGGCAAACACTTCGATGTTTGCGATCATAGGTCTTGTTGGAAGCCAGCAGGAAGACCACATTTTGTGGGGTTCAATTCCCTATTCTGACACACGCATACTGTTTTCCTACCGCAGCATAAGGGCAATCATTAGGTTCAATGCTGCTTGAATCCGCGCAGATGGGCTGCCTCGAATCCATGAAAGGGCTGCTTGATTGTTTACAATGAAAGCATTGTCCAACGTGTCCCCTGCTTTTGGAATGCCATGGGGTGAGCTTGAACACGTAAAGCGCATGAGTCCGGAGTGCTGACATGTTCTTCTGAATTGATGGCTTATACCACCCAAGTCGGTGATTTCTTTCCGTTTTAGGAACCTCACAGCTGACATTTCGATGGACAAGGAAGAGCCACACAGATCCGTTCTGAAGATCCGTTTTGGGGTGGGGAGATGAGAGAGTCATGGATCCCTTTTCGACTGAGCCATGAATTTCAAGCGTTGGAACCACCTCAAAAGTGGCACATGAATCCCCACCGAATTCTGTCAGGGTTCTCCATTGGAGAAACAAAAACACCCATCGATTCGAGTTGTCCGACACGGGAATGCCTCGAGGGGCGTTGTTCCGCCCCTAAGCGGGGGGGGGGGGGGTTCGCCTTCTAAGAACTTTGGAGTCTGGTTGGTTTTTTTTTCTTCTTCTTTTTCCCCGGGGTGTTTGAGGCGGGCGCAGATCAGCGGGCAAACCCTGATGGCGCGTGGCGCCCCGGGAAGCGGCCCGGGACGGACAGGAAACTGAGCATGGCGTTGTGGTTCGGAGTTGGTTCTTAAGTGGGCCAAAAGGAAGCGATCCCTGTTTTGAGATGATCCACCATGTTGAGACATAAGATGGGCATGAGTTTTTCAGGGAATGATTTGTGTCATTGTTCTCAGGCTTCTTGAGTTTTCTGTGCTTTTGGTTTTGACTCCAACCTTGTCTCATTCAATTGTCCGATTTGAAACGGTCTATGCCTCTAGAAGCCCTCATTCTTCATTTGTTTCGTGGCCGATGCATCCCGGAAGTTTTGTTTGCTTCACTTCAAGCAACGCGCCGATGGCGCGACCAAAGCGAGACTGTCTCCAACATGGGAAACAGATGCTCTTGTCAAGAGGCGGGACATGATTCTATTAAAGCTATGCAACGCATTGCTTATGAGGTACCTTCCTCAGAAGGCAAGTGAATCTTCGCCGCCTTTTCAAAGGATAGTAGTCTTCCTTTCGTGGATAAATTGCAGGGGACTTCGACCGTGAAGTCACTTTCAAATGCAACAATGATTGAAGTCACTCGCTTTGCCGTTGGCGGCAGAAAAGAGGGATGTCACTTTCTGGCACTTCCCTACATGCTGTCTTTGCCCGGCTCTTTCACACTGCGGAGGCTCGAGCGCATGAGCAAATGAGAAGGGAATGCAACGCCTCGACCAACAAGCCAACCAGCAAGCAAGGCTGTGGCTCAAAAAAGTGGAATCCCAAAACTGCACCTTGGTAAATGGAGCCAAAGACTAAAACCCGCGGTTTGCCCCAGCTCTTTTACTCTTGAGCCATACTCACCATAGGAGGTTTTGTTTCAACCGCCAATACGTCGCTCGCGTCGGTCCGGCTGGTCCGGCCCGCCGGTCCCGCGGTTCCGGCCTTCGGCCGAGCGAGCGGAAGCGAGCGAGGCTTGGGCTTTGCACGCTGGGCAGCGTGGTCTTCTTCCTGCGAGAGGGGCCGCTGGTGAAGGATCGGGCGCCGGAGAAATGGAAGGTGCAAAGAATAAATTTGGAGTCATTCACCAAAGAGTTGGTAAAGAGTAAAGTGAAGTCATCATTAACCAAAGAGTTGGTAAAGTGTAAAGTACAATGAACCGTTTGGGGATTTAAAGGAAACCATGGGCGACGGTTTATAAGGCTCATTTTCCATGTCTCATTCCCTGCAGAGGTACGCGCCTCTCGTTGCTCAGCTTCTCATAGCCATTCTCTCAGCCAGCCCGGGAAAGTGAAGGGAAAGCCCCAGCCTGAATTCGTTGCGGCCGCCTGAGTTCTTTACATTGGTTTGGGTACACGCCTGTTCCCTTTATTCGGGAATCCCCAAACGGTTCATTCCCAACGTTTCTAGGTGTTGATTTCCCATTATTTTCAAGCATCGTTCTTTTCAAAAACCAGCCCTTTTTCGCTGGGTTTCCAGAGAGGTTTTCTAGAAAGAAGGATCCCTGGAAATGGAAATGGAAGGTACCCTTAGGACATTCCCTCCCTATCGCAGCGAGTCTACCTGCCTCGGTCGTCGCAAGCTCCGCGCCAGACCTCGGAGCTCTTCGGCGCGAGCCTCACGGAAGAGCAGATCAAGTTGGAAGAGGCGCGCTGAAGCCTCTGCCGAAGACTCGGCGACGGCGTCCTATTGGCTCCCTAGGTGTGCTTTTGATCGGTTTGGCTAGAAACAGATGGGTTCCACTGGTTTAGATTGGGTTTATGCCATCCATGTACTAGGAAAACCATATTTCCAAAGGTCACATGTGTATTTTGAATTCCCACCAAAACAAGTGCGGCGGCTTCACCATTTTGCGAGCCTTTTGGCTCACTTTGAACCGAGCAGGGGTCAACATTTTGAGAATCTCCAGTTTTGAAGGATGCTCAGCACTACCATTCCGAGATGGCCAGATGTTGAGAGAAAGATGGCGCCGCTTTTTCACGCCTGGCGAGGCGTGGAAGAAAGAGAAGGAGGAGCAGGCAAAGAAGTCACAAGAAGCGACTTGGGCTCAACTGGATGTGGTGTGGAAGCCTGTATAGTGATGGCTGTCCGCCAGGCCGCGCTTTCTCATCAAGTGGGAAGTTAACATTTCAGGTTTGTGTGAGAGACCCCTGTTCGAAGCGTTTCTGAACCACTTCTTTGGAAGTGCATGTTTCTGAATTATGTGCTGCTTGCCATTTTGGTGGACGGACAGATAGATTCGGACATGTCATGACTGTATCATTGTCTTTGTTGGGCTATGCCAATTCACCTTGGAGCAATTTTTCCTATGAACACTGGCGTTTCAACATTCTTCCAAGATTTGCTCCAAGCGCCCCCAGTATGGCGCAAGAGTTCATTGCGGGCGGGATCCGCATCTGCCGCTCTATCGGACCATCCGCACGGTCCGCACGGATGCTTCTCGTTCTGCCCGCTGTGGCCCCTTTGACTTTGTACTCGGGTGATCGCCCATTCCTGCGGTGTCTAGCAGGGGTTTGGCACCTTTTGACCCTCCCAGACCTTTCGGATGCTTGTGATTATTTCTTTGCCTGCTGCGTGGAATTTGTACCCCCGGGACCCCCCGTCCTTGTGGTATCAAGCGCCCATTTGGCACCTGTTGGCCCCCCAATTGACCCCTATATACAATGTAATACCGGTGCCCGTGCTTTTCTTCTGGTTTGCAGGAGTAGTATTTTGCCACTTGCTAGATGATCAAGCTGCTTTCCCCGCAAGTCTCGGCAAGGGGCAACTTTTCTCGCCCAGGAGCGAAAGCAGAAGGAGGAGGGGCGGAAATGTGTGTTGCTTAAGGCGCAAGCCATTGACATCCCTGACTTCTGGTTTAGTCATGTTCCGTGCAAGAGCAGTTTGCCCGCGTCAGCAAGTCCCACACCCACCAGTTGGAAGTGGTAGCCGTCATACTCACTAGAGGCCTTCACAGGTCTTGACCTTCCAACACTCTCCCTGCGTGGTCGTTTTGTACTATGGGGCGGTGGCAGTTTGGGCCAGGGAGGGTTTTCTCAGCCTCTAAAAGCTAGGGAAACTCGAGGAACCAGCGCCCCTTGGAAGGGGCCGCTCGTCGGCAGAGCAGCGCGTAGGGCATGACAGTGCCAAGCCCAAAGACGTAGAGCAGTCCAGGAGGGCGGCTCTCGCCGAAACACAAAAGCCAGCAAACAACTCTGATGGTTTTTCGTTCCGCCTCTTCAGAGGCAAGATGAAGCCGGTGCCAGCAAAGGTCTAGGCCTCAAGACATATATAAGCGTTACAACCACACGACGGTGCAACCCACACATTTGGCATCCCTCTCGGCACCTGGGCATTTGGCCCATGAGTGGTTCCCCAAAGAGGAGTCGGTCCCCTAAACCGGGTTCCTTATGTTGCGCTACACCTCATGACCTTTCTCGCAGAGCCCAGTCAGAATCATCCTGGCACGGCTGCAATGCCTTGTAGGCTGCTCCCTATTCCGGAGAACGAATATTTTGGCTGCAGACCTTGCGGCTCAATAAGCAGCACTATTACAAGCACACAAAAAAAATCCCCCTCCATACTTTGCTGCTCAATAAGGAGCACTATACAACACAAAAGCTCCCCTTCTTTCCCAACATGTCTGGGGTTTGCAAGCCGGAAAAGAGGATCAATCAGCACCCGAAAACGATCTTCCTATGGTTTGAGCGAGCGGGCTGGCGCGTTTCTGATCCTTCTTTCTCACATGTGGGTTGCAACCTGTCCCCTTTTACGGGGCGAGATGGTTGCGCCCTGTGTACGTGGTCCATACACCAAAACCCAGGTCGGACGGCTGAAAGGTTTGGAGGACCTAGCAAGAGGACCCCCTAACATGGCTAAATTCCTTCCAAAAGGAGGAACCACCCCTGACTAGTACTCCTCGTTCATCCGACGCTATTAGAAGTGAACCAATCGCAACCAGTGTGGAGAATTGTTACTCCATCCTGACTGGTCCGGGTCCATTTTCCTACCGAAAAAATCCCCCTCCCATCCAACCTGGCGGGTCCGAGCCAGACCCTTTGGTTCCAAGTCGCGGCAGGGTAAGTTGACCCAGGATCTAAGTAGAATTTGTGCCACAACTAGGGGGTGTTCCCTCCAAAAGTGGTCTGAATCCCGACTGAAAGGGCACCCCCCCAATCAAAATCAACCAGGTGGAGCCACATGGCTGTTGGTAAAACCCTGTACCCCCAGTGAACATCCCAATCCAACCACTAAAATAGGTTCTAAAATGGGTGGTGAATTCACCTACCAACCAGGGGTTCTGCTTCATCCTAAGTGATGAATCCCCACTAAAAGGGGACACCCCCTAATCAAAACCAACCAGAGGTTTAACATCATCGGATTTTGGGCGTCCGGTCGCAGGAGGAGAAGAGGAAGGCCCAAGAGCTGCAAGCGAAGCAGCGCCAGGAGCGAGAAGGGCAGCTGCGCAAGGAGAGGGAGCAGAAGCAGAAGCAGAAGGAGGAGAGAGAAAGAGAGAGCGAGAGAGAGAGAGAGAGAGAGAGAGAGAAAGAGAGAGAGAGAGAGAGTTAGTTTTGAGTTTTGAGTGGAGGTTTTGGTTGCTTCCTTGCTGGGAGAGAGAAAGAGAAAGAGAAAGAGAGAGAGAGAGAGAGAATGTTGAGTGGAGGTTGTGGTTGCTTCCTTACTGGTTGGATGTGCTTGAGTTTTGAGTGGAGGGATTTGGTGGAGTGGGAGAAGAGCAAGAAGGAGGATCAGAGCTTGGTTTCTTTGAGGGGAACGAGGGGAACGAGGGGAACCAGATTTGCTGAGTGAGGGCTTTCGTTTGCCACGTGAGAGTCACAAACGCACAGTCCGACGGCGTTTTAGTAACTGACCCGTTGGCAACGGTTGGCTTGCTTTGCTTTTGCAAGGCCCTTTGAGCTTGGGTTTTGGTTGCTTCCTTGCTCGTCTTATTCTTTCTGTGTTTAGTGGCTTGCCTCTGTGCGTGTTGTCTGGTTGTTTTGTTTGTTTACTTGCTTGTTTGCTTGTCTGATGGATGGACTGGATCGGATTGGACAAGATCGGATGGATTGATTGGATTATTGGATTGATTGGATTGACTGATTTGAGGATTGATTTGGATTAGATTGAATTTGATTGATTGGGTGGGTGGATGGGTAGATGATTTGTTGCTTGCTTGCTTGCTTGCTTGCTTGGTTGGTTGCTTGGTTGGTTGGTTGCTTGTTTGCTTGCTTGCTTGCTTGCTTGCTTGGTTGCTTGGTGGCTTGGTTGGTTGCTTGGTTGGTTGCTTGGTTGCCTGGTTGCTTGGTTGCTTGGTTGCTTGGTTGCTTGGTTGCTTGGTTGCTTGCTTGGTTGCTTGGTTGGTTGGTTGGTTGCTTGGTTGCTTGGTTGCTTGGTTGCTTGGTTGGTTGGTTGGTTGGTTGGTTGGTTGGTTGGTTGGTTGGTTGGTTGTGGTTGCTCTTCGTTTATCCATCTCTTTATTTCAATCGACATTGTTGCTAGACCTCAAATAGAGGGCCAAAGAATTCCGGCGGGCACTTTTGATACTTGGCCGACAAACGCTCTCTTTTCTGACATGAAAAGGCTGGATCCTCTTGACTGCAAAACCTCGGCTTTCCGTAGTGCATGCCCCAATAATATGAAGATAAAGTCAATGGCGGAGCAGCTACTGTAGGTTTCTCGAATGGCTGTCTACAGGAAAGGACCTTTTCAGGAGCAGACATGTTGGTCAGCTTGTTGCTTTATGAGTTGCGCCAACAGGCAGCCCAAGAGTTGCGGACTTTGGGCAAGCTCTAAAAACGGGTGGCCCGTTGACAGCAACGCCTGGAGGCGATCGCTTGGCTTTTGCAGAGTCGTGCCTGGCAAGGACGAGCAAAAAAGAAAGGAAGAGGAGCGTCAAAGAGTGGCAGCTGAGAAGAAGCGGTTAAAGGTGTGCCTGGCGTCTTTGCAGTGTAGCACCAACTGAAAGCCTGAAAGTCCATGAGTAATTTGTGCAGAACTTTCTCAGACGGATGCTTGACACTCTCATAGAGTCTTGCAATGCCTAGACATTTAGTTGCACTGTTCGTCTCGTTTTTCAAGTGCGCACTTGTGTTGCAGGAGGAGGCACGAGCAATCAGAGAGGAGGAAAAGAGAAAAGCGGAAGAAGAGCGCAGAAAGAAGCAAGAGGAGTATGAAGCAAAGAAGCTGGAAGAGCAGAAGCAAGCGATTGCAGCAAAGAAACGCAAGGAGGAGGAGAAGAAGCAGAAGGAGGAGGAGGCGAGGTTGCAGAAGGAAGCAGAGAAAGAGGCGGGCGCCAAGAAAAAGCAGCAAGAGCAAGAGGCTGCAGCAGTAGCAGCGCAGCAGAAGCAACAAGAAGAAGCCCGGAAGAAAGAAGAGAAGCAAAGGAAGGAGGCAGAGGCGAAGGCCGAAGCAGAGGCAAAGAAAGCCGAGGCTAAGAAAGCTGAGGCAAAGAAAGCCGAGGCAAACGGAGCGCAGGAGGGTGTTGCCACTGATAAGTAGGATTGCAATCCATAATCCTTGCAACAGCCCTCCCAAAGTTGCTGAATTGCATGTTGTTTTTCTCGCATTTGGCAGGAGTTGAGGGCGGAAGAACGGCGCAAGGAAGAGCAAGAGGAGGAAGCCAGGCTGAAGGCAGAGGAGCAAGCGCAGAGTGAAGAGTTCCGCAAGCGCAGAGAGGCAGAAGCGCGCAAGCAACAAGAGGAGGAGGCAGCACGCAAGCGGCAGGAGGAAGAAGTGGCACGCAAGCGGCAGGAGGAAGAGGAGGCGCGCAAGCGGCAGGAGGAAGAGGAGGCGCGCAAGCAACAAGAGGCAGAGCGCAAGCGACAGGAGGAGGAAGTGAAGCGGCAGCAGGAAGAAGAGCGCAAGCAAAAGGAGCTGGAAGAGCAGGCTCGTGAAGAGGAGCGCAAACGCAAGGAGACAGAGGAAGGAGAGAGAACGCGTCAAGAGGGGAAGGAGGAAAGAATAGAAGAGGAAGTGACAGCCCAAAGTGGCGAGGCAAGGTCGCTCGCCGCTTTCGTGGGGCCACGGGTGAACTTGGGCGGGCCATGTTCCGTCCATGAAAAAATCCATTGCTTGAGTTGCCTGCAGGCTGACGAAAAGGAGAAGCAGAAGCGGTACTCGCTGGACACTTATATAGAGCTAGAGCATTTGTCAATGTTAGTTGCACTGCAGACGCAGGGATTACAGGATGTTAACAATATTGTGTGTGGGGATAAGGCCAACTCTTGACACATGTGAGAAGCAATGACCTGACATCTGCAGCAGCCTTTAGCAGATCTCAGTGAGCCAGAATTCGGTACCCCACAGTCTAACAATGCACGTCAACGGACCGACCAGAATGGCTGTTTCTTTGTGGCGGATGTGGGCAGAATTTGCAGGTACCCTCCCTCCCACTTATGAATAGCAACTCTGGGAGGGTGCCTGGAAGATGAATTTCCTCTTGTAGGGACCCCCTGTCAGGTGCCAAGTTAGTGGAAGGGAGGGTACTTTCTTGCCCGAGGCGATTAAGCTTCAAGTGGAAGGTGCAAGATGAGATGCGTTGGGGGCAGGAGGCTGGCACATCGATGGCTGCTTGACACGGAGAGACGGATAGACGGATGTGGCTCAAGACTTTTGGTCGGAGGCAGGGGACCTCCATAGCTAGCAAAAGACTGGGGGGGTGGGGGCTGGGGGTTTGCGGGCTACTTATCTTTGAGCCAAGTCTATTTGTCAGAACCAATGAGCAGGAATGTGGCAGCAAGTGCGTGGGTTTTCACTCTACCCCTGAATTCTTGCATTTTGTTTTTCCGAGCCTCTGCTGGTCCCCCCCCCCCTCATTCTGAGCTTATTTGCCCATTGGTTTGGGCTTCGGCCTTCGACCATTTTTCTCCCTTGAAATACCGCCTTGCACAGTTTAGACGGTTTAACTTCAAAGACTTCCACAGAAAAGAATGCGTCTAACTGCGATCTGTGTGTTGCCCAACATTGGTTGTCACATCCTTGACCCAAGGGGGTATCCTTTGAACGGTGGGTGAACGAATCTGCGTGATGTCGCCTCCTGCAATGGGGTTCACACCCTTTTTCTCCTTTGGGGATCGAGGTAGACAAGAAGTAATATGTGCGATGGTCAAAAGACCAGTTCCTTTACTTGGGGTTTTGCCAGGGTTGGTCATCCACCTAGTGAGGATCTGACCCACCGGAGTTTTCACCATGGCACATATATCGCGAAGCTGGCTTGCTACTTGCTTTCTAAAGGCTGATTGTACAGGTACATAACATATTTTTACCCATGGCCATGGTTGTCCCACAATTAATCCACAAACGGAACATTAACGCATCAACTAGGGGTTCATACCAGTGGTTCACATATGCACATATACATTTAGCCTTTGACTTTCACTGACAAAGCATGTCAGGCGGCCCGAATCAAGCAACAGCTGATGGAGAGGCGGGCGAGACTTCCAGCATCAGAGCTTTTGTTATGCTTCTTGAGCCAGCTTTATTGGGACAGGTTCCAGAGGTTTCAGAAAGCTTCAAGAAAACCACAGAATGGATCCAAGGGTTCAGTCAGAATCCGGAATGGCCAGTTGCGCTGAAGGCCTTTTCTCCCTGAGATTGCATCCGATGAATACTGTGTCTGTTATTCAAGAACAAGCAGTCAGTGACTTAGGTTGATCTAGCAAGCACTATACCCTTCAGCAACTATGAGTGGTCATAGCGATTGCCTTTATTTGTAGAAGACTACATGCGGAAACATTATTGGGGTAGCACACTAATTTACATAGGTGCAAAATGAGATAGAACCCCCCCAAAAAAAAGAAGGAACAAAATACACCAGTATATATAGACCCCAGATAGCTGTGCTTGCACACCAGCACCTCCAAAAGCACCCCCCCCGAAGAACGCCCCAAGCAAAATCCTGCATCACGCCATCGTAGGAGGCTTCCTGCGCGTGCCAGCCATCATGCTGCAATCACGGTCGCTCAAGCTTCTGTCCTTCAGCCTCTCCACACACAGCTCCCCCACAAACTGCGCCCCATAGCACCATCAGCACCAGCGCCCCAAACTGCGTTTTCCTGCGTCAGTTTTTCAAGACGCAAAAATGCGCGCCTGCACAAGCACCCCACAAACTGCATGCCCCCTAGCACCCTACCGTCAATCTTGAAAAGATGCGCCCGCACTGCCATCAGCACCTCAAACAGCACCCCAATCAGCACCTACACCAGCACCCCAAACTGTTGCACGCCCCCTAGCACCAGCCCATCAATCTCGCAAATCCCTTTTTTAATAGAAGTTAGAACCCCTATAACTTTCATCTATCGGGGGAAAAATATAAAAAGTTAGAAAAGGAAGTAAGGCCATGATATATGTGGTCGAGATCACACACACACACACACATGCGGCGTTGGACAATGAGGTCAGGGAGCCCAAAAGGGTGCAGAGTTGAAGAGCAAGGAGGGAACACCATCCAACTATGTGGCAAGTGACTGCCGTAACTCATCTCTGTGTGTAAATATTAATATATGTACATATGTATGCATGTATGTAATGTGATATAATGCAATGTAATGTAGTGTAATGTTTTGTAATGTACTGTATGTATGTATGCATGTAATGTATGTATGTAATGTAATGTAATGTAATGTAGTGTAGTGTAATGTAATGTAATGTAGTGTAATGTAATGTAATGTAATGTAATGTAATGTAATGTAATGTAATGTAATGTAATGTAATGTAATGTAATGTATGTATGTATGTATGTATGTATGTATGTATGTATGTATGTATGTATGTATGTATGTATGTATGTATGTATGTATGTATGTATGTATGTATGTATGTATGTGTATGTATGTATGTATGTATGTATGTATGTATGTATGTATGTATGTATGTATGTATGTATGTATGTATGTATGTATGTATGTATGTATGTATGTATGTATGTATGTATGTATGTATGTATGTATGTATGTATGTATGTATGTATGTATGTATGTATGTAATGTATGTATGTATGTATGTATGTATGTATGTATGTATGTAATGTAATGTAATGTAATGTAATGTATGTAATGTATGTATGTATGTATGTATGTATGTATGTATGTATGTATGTATGTATGTATGTATGTAATGTATGTATGTATGTATGTAATGTATGTATGTAATGTATGTATGTATGTATGTATGTATGTATGTATGTATGTATGTATGTATGTATGTATGTATGTATGTATGTATGTATGTATGTATGTATGTATGTATGTATGTATGTATGTATGTATGTATGTATGTATGTAATGTAATGTAATGTAATGTAATGTAATGTAATGTAATGTAATGTAATGTAATGTAATGTAATGTAATGTAATGTAATGTAATGTAATGTAATGTAATGTAATGTAATGTAATGTAATGTAATGTATGTAATGTAATGTAATGTAATGTAATGTATGTATGTATGTATGTATGTATGTATGTATGTATGTATGTAATGTAATGTAATGTAATGTATGTAATGTAATGTAATGTATGTAATGTACTGTATGTAATGTAATGTAATGTATGTATGTATGTATGTATGTAATGTAATGTAATGTAATGTATGTGTAATGTATGTATGTATGTATGTATGTATGTATGTATGTATGTATGTATGTATGTATGTATGTATGTAATGTATGTATGTATGTATGTATGTATGTATGTATGTATGTATGTATGTATGTATGTATGTAATGTATGTATGTATGTATGTATGTATGTATGTATGTATGTATGTATGTATGTATGTATGTATGTATGTATGTATGTATGTATGTATGTATGTATGTATGTAATGTATGTATGTATGTATGTATGTATGTATGTATGTATGTATGTATGTATGTAATGTATGTATGTATGTATGTATGTATGTATGTATGTATGTATGTATGTATGTATGTATGTATGTATGTATGTATGTATGTATGTATGTATGTATGTATGTATGTATGTATGTATGTATGTATGTATGTATGTATGTATGTATGTATGTATGTATGTATGTATGTATGTATGTATGTATGTATGTATGTATGTATGTATGTATGTATGTATGTATGTATGTATGTATGTATGTATGTATGTATGTATGTATGTATGTATGTATGTATGTATGTATGTATGTATGTATGTATGTATGTATGTATGTGTATGTATGTATGTATGTATGTATGTATGTATGTATGTATGTATGTATGTATGTATGTATGTATGTATGTATGTATGTATGTATGTATGTATGTATGTATGTATGTATGTATGTATGTATGTATGTATGTATGTATGTATGTATGTATGTATGTATGTATGTATGTATGTATGTATGTATGTATGTATGTATGTATGTATGTATGTATGTATGTAATGTAATGTATGTATGTATGTATGTATGTATGTATGTATGTATGTATGTATGTAATGTATGTATGTATGTATGTATGTATGTATGTATGTATGTATGTATGTATGTATGTATGTATGTATGTATGTATGTATGTATGTATGTATGTATGTATGTGTATGTATGTAATGTATGTATGTATGTATGTAATGTAATGTAATGTAATGTAATGTAATGTAATGTAATGTAATGTAATGTAATGTAATGTAATGTAATGTAATGTAATGTAATGTAATGTAATGTAATGTAATGTAATGTAATGTAATGTAATGTAATGTAATGTAATGTAATGTAATGTAATGTAATGTAATGTAATGTAATGTAATGTAATGTAATGTAATGTAATGTAATGTAATGTAATGTAATGTAATGTAATGTAATGTAATGTATGTATGTATGTAATGTATGTATGTATGTATGTATGTATGTATGTATGTATGTATGTATGTATGTAATGTATGTAATGTATGTATGTATGTATGTATGTATGTATGTATGTATGTATGTATGTATGTATGTATGTATGTATGTATGTATGTATGTATGTATGTATGTAATGTATGTATGTATGTATGTATGTATGTATGTATGTATGTATGTATGTATGTATGTATGTATATGTATGTATGTATGTATGTATGTATGTATGTATGTATGTATGTATGTATGTATGTATGTATGTATGTATGTATGTATGTATGTATGTATGTATGTATGTATGTAATGTATGTATGTATGTATGTATGTATGTATGTATGTATGTATGTATGTATGTATGTATGTATGTATGTATGTATGTATGTATGTATGTATGTATGTAATGTATGTATGTATGTATGTATGTATGTATGTATGTATGTATGTATGTATGTATGTATGTATGTATGTATGTATGTATGTATGTATGTATGTATGTAATGTATGTATGTATGTATGTATGTATGTATGTATGTATGTATGTATGTATGTATGTATGTATGTATGTATGTATGTATGTATGTATGTATGTATGTATGTATGTATGTATGTATGTATGTATGTATGTATGTATGTATGTATGTATGTATGTATGTAATGTATGTAATGTATGTAATGTAATGTAATGTAATGTAATGTATGTATGTATGTATGTATGTATGTATGTATGTATGTATGTATGTATGTATGTATGTAATGTATGTATGTATGTAATGTATGTATGTATGTATGTATGTATGTATGTATGTATGTATGTATGTATGTATGTATGTAATGTATGTATGTATGTATGTAATGTATGTATGTATGTATGTATGTATGTATGTATGTATGTATGTATGTATGTATGTATGTATGTATGTATGTATGTATGTATGTATGTATGTATGTATGTATGTATGTATGTGTATGTATGTATGTATGTATGTATGTATGTATGTATGTATGTATGTATGTATGTATGTATGTATGTATGTATGTATGTATGTATGTATGTATGTATGTATGTATGTATGTATGTATGTATGTATATGTATGTATGTATGTATGTATGTATGTATGTATGTATGTATGTATGTATGTATGTATGTATGTATGTATGTATGTATGTATGTATGTATGTATGTATGTATGTATGTATGTATGTATGTATGTATGTATGTATGTATGTATGTATGTATGTATGTATGTATGTATGTATGTATGTATGTATGTATGTATGTATGTATGTATGTATGTATGTATGTATGTATGTATGTATGTATGTATGTATGTATGTATGTATGTATGTATGTATGTATGTATGTATGTATGTATGTATGTATGTATGTATGTATGTATGTATGTATGTATGTATGTATGTATGTATGTATGTATGTATGTATGTATGTATGTATGTATGTATGTATGTATGTATGTATGTATGTATGTATGTATGTATGTATGTATGTATGTATGTATGTATGTATGTATGTATGTATGTATGTATGTATGTATGTATGTATGTATGTATGTATGTATGTATGTATGTATGTATGTATGTATGTATGTATGTATGTATGTATGTATGTATGTATGTGTATGTATGTAATGTAATGTATGTATGTATGTATGTATGTATGTATGTATGTATGTATGTATGTATGTATGTATGTATGTATGTATGTATGTATGTATGTATGTATGTATGTATGTATGTATGTATGTATGTATGTATGTATGTATGTATGTATGTATGTATGTATGTATGTATGTATGTATGTATGTATGTATGTATGTATGTATGTAATGTATGTATGTATGTATGTATGTATGTATGTATGTATGTATGTATGTATGTAATGTATGTATGTATGTATGTATGTATGTATGTATGTATGTATGTATGTATGTATGTATGTATGTAATGTATGTATGTATGTATGTATGTATGTATGTATGTATGTATGTATGTATGTATGTAATGTATGTATGTATGTATGTAATGTAATGTAATGTAATGTAATGTAATGTAATGTAATGTAATGTAATGTAATGTAATGTAATGTAATGTAATGTAATGTAATGTAATGTAATGTAATGTAATGTAATGTAATGTAATGTAATGTAATGTAATGTAATGTAATGTAATGTAATGTATGTAATGTATGTAATGTATGTATGTATGTAATGTATGTAATGTATGTATGTATGTAATGTATGTATGTATGTATGTATGTATGTATGTATGTATGTATGTATGTATGTATGTATGTATGTATGTATGTATGTATGTATGTATGTATGTATGTATGTATGTATGTATGTATGTATGTATGTATGTATGTATGTATGTATGTATGTATGTATGTATGTATGTATGTATGTATGTATGTATGTATGTATGTATGTATGTATGTATGTATGCAATGCAATGCAATGCAATGCAATGCAATGCAATGCAATGCAATGCAATGCAATGCAATGCAATGCAATGCAATGCAATGCAATGTATGTATGTATGTATGTATGTATGTATGTATGTATGTATGTATGTATGTATGTATGTATGTATGTATGTAATGTATGTATGCATGCATGCATGCATGCATGCATGCATGCATGCATGTATGTATGTATGTATGTATGTATGTATGTATGTATGTATGTATGTATGTATGTATACACATATTTATATGATATGTATGTATACATATTGGCATATGATATATGTATTGTCGACAATATCGAATGCATCGCAGACTTGTGAAACATCTGACCATACAGCGTGCACACTCGCTTGGCACCGGGAGATCTACATATCTCGGTCCGGCCAAAATTAAGGTGGATTTTTTGGACGCTGGAGCTGACAGCTGCAATATTTTGCAGGCGACGCTTGCGCAAGTGTAGGAGACATGCTGCACGCATCAATCTCATGAATTTAGGAGGTGGGCAAGGGAACGGCTCTCCCAATGCGAAGGTTTGCCAACTCTAGGGCTTCAATGTATGACTATCATGTTTGTCTTGACCTGATGCAGTCCCCGCACCTTTGGCCCGCAGGGAGCGTGAGCTGGAGGCGTTGCGGAAATCCAAGGAAGAAGACGACAGGCCGGAGGTCCGAGTGCTCGAGACTAGGGTTTGCTCAGCTCAGACCACTTGTGGAGAACGTGGTTTTACTGACTTGCATGTTGACTGACTGGAGTTTCGCACCGGCAAGGGAGGAGAGTACTTGCTTTGACGCAGGGAATTGGCGAACCGGAGTCTTTCCCAAGCGGTGCAGCTTCGTTGGGCTGCTTGATGCGACTTGCGCAGGTGAGACTTGGTGGTATTGTATGGAAGTCATTGCACATGGCCCATGTTGTTTTTTTGCTCAACACATCATGGGTGTGTCATTTTGGAGGACCCCCCGAAAAAGACAAGTCCTCATGCCTCACTTAGAATAATCGGAGGTATCTCTGTGTCATGCACAAACCACGAGCTGGCTGTCCAATGTTCGAGCAGCAGGCTCATACCTTTGCAACGTTTAGGAGCCCGGCGTCAAGTTCGCAAACGTCGTTGTTTGATTACGACATAGGTCAGCATGCATACTTGTACAACCCCCATGTGACACTTTCTCATGTTTCTAGTGGTTATACATCCATTCACGCAACTAGCTTGCCGAGAATCGGCTGACAGGAGATGGGCGGAACTCCAAGAGGAGGCTGGGTTCCAAAGGCACAGCTACCTGGTTTCTTGGTTCAGATCATTGGATTGGAAGTACTTGCTTCCACTTTCATTTCAAGGTGTCGAGGTTCGAGTGCTCAAAATATTTTTTGGGCCCCGGTCTCCATACAATCTATGCTCTCAGCCCTACTTGGTTTGCGTGCATGCTGCGATTCTGAAGCATCATAAGGCTTGTATTGCAGCGAATCCGAGGTCTGAAGGAAATCAGTCCAATCCCTCGTGTCGCACAACAAAATTGAAAAACTGCCCAGGCGGAAAGTTTCCTGTTGGAAAAGGCTCCACTTTGTTGACCAATTTGCAAAGATCTCGCCCAGTTGCCAAAGTTTGGTCCAGAATGGAAGGAACATGCCGGCAGACCCCGCAAAATATGTCGAAATCTTTCCGAGGCGCACCGTTCGGCTGCTTTTCATTCTCGTTCTCCGCCCGTTTTGGCCCGTTTGCCACGGCTTCGCCAAGCGCTAGGCCAAGCAGATCGAGGCTCAGAAGGCTAAGGCTCGTGCTCGATGGGTGTATGTTCTGAAGTCTGGCACAATCGGCGTGGCATTACACGGCAGTGTCTCATGTGTCATATGGCTGCGGGTCAAAAATATGGTAACCCCAACATGGCTTGCCCTGCTAAATGGAAACATAAGCTAAAACCTGCGGCCCAATTCCTGGTGGTTTAATTTTGACCCATACCCATATCTGATTCGCGGATTCGCTGTTTTGTCTAGCTCAAAGCCGTCTCATAGTCTTTCCGCTTGAGCTTATTCTGAGATTGATTCAAGAAATCAACAAGTCGTTCCAAGTAATCACCCTTGCTCCTCAAGCTCTCACCCTTCTCTAGTCGGAACAGGTGAAAAGGGGCCTAGAGTGAACAAGCAGCTCGGATGCGCGGCTCGGACGAGTGAAAGCTGGGACTGCTGGGACTGCTGGGGCCACTATTTTGACTGCTGGTGTTCAAAGTCGGCTGGGGTTCTTTCCCAGAAATCTGCCAGGTGATGGTAAAAAACAGGTTCTTTCCCAGAGGTCTACCACTCAATTACCAGTGATGGTTAAAAAAAGGAAAAACACTTTTTCAGAGGTCTACCACTCAATTACCAGTGATGGTAAAACAGAACAAAAAAGATAGGGCCAGGACCGGCCTGGCGAGTTCCTTGAGGGTCGGCCATCAGGACCCCTGACCTCCGCTCCGCGCCTTTCAGCACTCGCGATCGAGTCAGCTTGAGCCGGTTCAGTCGTGTTTCCGTCGGATTGGAACGGCGGTCTTTGGAAAGGCGGTCCGTGAAGTCCAGTTGGATTTGGGATGCGAAGGTCACACAGCGGGTTGAAGCGAGCAATGAGAAGCACAGCCCTCATTGCTCTATTCCAAGGCTGCAAGGACTCAACAACCGAGGCGGGTGGTCCTGTTGTTGGCGGTAGAAGCATGATCTAGGGATGTCATCTCTCACGATGCCCCACTATTTTTGTCAGGACGTGTTGAAAATGTAGGTTTTGAAGCCAGGGAGGGCAAGTCTTGCTTGGCTGGACACGTGAAGGGTGCTTGATGCTGCTAGACGTACCAACCAATCTATCCAGCACAATGCTGACGTGTCCAGTGGGATTTCAGACCACTGCACTCCTGTCACTTGCTTCACCATCGCCAGGTGACTCCGGTCAGGACTCAGTGTGACGTCAATAGCAATCCAAGTTCGTGCGTGGCGCCATGAAGCATAGCTGGATCAACCTGTACACTTCTTCGCTACCTGGAAGATGTTCGCAACCATTTCCCTGTGGCACACGTACCAAATCATTAAATGGGCGCAGCAGAGTCATGCTCGATGCTACCCTCAACCCATCAAGGCCTCCGTGCTCTCACTCGGCCCGAGGGGAAAATCCGCAGATTTTCCGCTTCGGCGGAAAGGCGCCCTTTGCGGCTTTTTGGCTTTCAGGACGGGCACTGCCGGCTGATTGAGCCGATGGTTGGCTTGCTTTCACCCAGCTTGAGCCTCCAATGGAGGTCTGTTGGCAACTCAAGCGCAGCGTTATGAGGGATGCTCTCTTACAAGGGGGCGGCTTATTCAGCGCCATCCCCATGCTTTCTTCTTCTTTTTTTTTTTGGGGGGGGGGGGTAGCTTCCGTGATGGGGTTGCAGACCTCAATGGCCTCAATGGCCCAGAGGGATGAGGCTGTTCCTGACTCCCGGATGTTGCTTTCACTGCTCGGCGAGTCGATGGTAGTCGATGGTAGTCGATGGTAGTCGATGGTTTGCAAGTTTAGGCATAGGCCGTCACAGCAAGGAGTTTCTGTTCCGCGGAAAGTGGTGTCAAACACCTTTACTGAAGAGCGACACTGCAGGGCAAAGGTGTCTTGAGGTTTATCCCTTGGAGAATAGAGGAAACTTGCACAGCCACTGGGTTCAACTGTTTGGACGTGCTTAGGTTTTCAGAACATAGGTCTCTTGACACTGATGAACGGTTGTTGGAACTCAGTTGTCCGCGCTTTTTCAATTTTGCTCCTCGGATGGATAAAGCCCGCCTGACAGGGATGTCAAATGTACCTATCTCTCAAGTCAGAAGCACTAGGGTGGGGGGGGGGGAAGAATCTGACCCAACAACAGACTCTTGCATCATTCGGGATGGGATCTGACTGCCGGCCCGATGCATCGCTGGCGAGAACGGCCTCATGGGATGCTCGGAAGCTTCATGGCCCAGGGCCGGCGAGCTCGGTGCGAGCAACGAGGCGAGCCATGTGAATCGCTCCCAGAGGGGAAGGCCAGGAGAGAAGTTCAGCCGATTTCAGGGCTCCTTCCAGGAATACCCGATCTCCTTTCCTGACAGAAGCTGAAGAACCAGAGATGGTCCAGCACGCCGTGCTGCGGCTCTATGTATACACATATATGTATGTGTATATATATATATATACACATACATATATGTTTCACAACATTTGCGCATCGGAATGAGGTGCTATTGAGGCATCCAAGACCTTCTTTTCAGTGGCTTCATGACAAAAGCTGCGGCCATGACGCAAAACAAAAAGAGAAAAGACCCCGAGAAAGCGATTCAACTTGTGTCTATCTGGACGATGGCTTGGAACTTCAGGCACTATCCAGCTTCTGACCTGTGCAGAAACTTGTGGACTGATCGGGTATACCTTGCAGGGCTAAATAAAGCTTGTCACGCACTGTTCATTGCAACAACGAACACACACACACACAGACGCGCTGGTCATCAGGACTTGAAGCTCTTTACAACTTCATGGCTATTCAACAGCAAATGAACGTTGATTGTGCAAGCCCTCCCAACAAACGTTGCGCCTCCAATTCGGCGAGTGTCTGAATGGGCAGACACGGCCACAGTTTTACAGATGCGGAAGCATAGCTTCACGGCCGAGCGTGCTATCAGCTTAGATGGCTTCCGCCAATTTGAGCGCAAGACCCTGTTGGCTTGGGCCCCTACTGAATCGGCCGCCTGGCTTCGAGGCCGTATCACGGCCTGGCACTCGGATAGAATCTGTTAGAACCGGTTAGGTCAATGGGTCTTGAGCGTTTGTTTCTTTTCACCTGTTGTAAATTTGTGCGGCTCGGCTGCCATTTCTCATGGAAAATGCAACCGAGCGAACGAGGAGAGGCAATGCACGCAGCCCCTTGCAGCTAACATACGGATGGCTGGTGTTGAGCCGATCGTTTTGCGACTGATTGTTGCTTTGGAAGCTTGGCCCGCAGCTTTCTAACTTCAAGAGAGCCAAAGCACAAGGCACATGGTCCAGGCGTTCCAAACAGGCACCTGCGACGTGTTTTTCCTCCTCCTCTTTTTTTTTCAAAAGAAAGGGGAAGCGTAACAGAACATAAACAACGCATCCAGTGTTTTTTTCTTCCTATCCCCGTTTTTGTGTTCAGCAGAATGTCACACATGAGCCTCGGGGGCCTTGGGGCAAAAGGAGCGCTTCGCAAAGTCGCGAGTCGCTGGTGTCAAGCGAAGTCCCATGGGCTGCTGTCACAACAAGGAGCGAGCTGAGGTTTTGATTGGACGCCGTGCTCAAAATGGCGGTTGATGCTTTTGGTTGGCATTTGAAGGGAAACCAACAGGGGCGCCCTGCGCATTTCAGGGGACTATTTTGAGAACCCCGCCTCTAGATGGGACAACTCTGGGCTACGAAGCGCGAATCTGGAAGCTGATTTTACGTGGGTTTGGCTCCGGTCCGATGGTGATCCCCCGAGCCGGGGCTACGGGGTCCTGTTTCTTGAGGTAAGGCCCATGATGCGCGAAAATCCGTGATTTTGAGTTTTTCGTTACCACCCATTTGCCCGAGGCCATTTTCCTTCTGCCCAGCTACTGAGCATGCGCATCCCGTGCGACGTGACATCGGTTGGGGTCTCTTGGCTCTGTCAGGAGCTCTATGTCGTCTGTTCCTGGGACTGGGATGAGAGCCGGGGCCCCCCAGGTGGTGTCGCGACAGCCCGCGTCTAAGTTCGTGACAGAGGCTCCGGGCCCAAAGGTCCAAACCCTTGGCTCCAAACCACTTTGGCTATGCCTGGACGATGTCTCTCTCCGGCGGTCGCTTCGTTTCTAAGGCGACCAGCTGGCGGCTGAAGTGTGGAAGCGCCGCCACGTCGAGCCCAGTCCGGCGCCTGACCAGGCCCTCCGGTTTCGAAGGCGTCGCGAGTTGCCAGGGACCCGTACGAAAGGCTGCTTGGATTGGTGGTTTGGATTTGGATTTGAACCCATGGTTCTTGTAGAGGGTAGATTGGAAACCCTCCGTTTCACCACCAAACCACCGGGCTCCAAACCACCTTTTTTGAGGGAGGCTGATTGTTCCTGTGCCAAGTTCCCTGCCAGCTGGCTCCTATTGAGCCTTTTCGGGGAACTGTGGATGGTTGCGAAATCCCATAAAACGCACCACGGTTCAGAATGCCTAGAATGATGATTCCTCTAGAAATACCAACAATCAATGGTTTTAAACATTGTTTGCATCTGGTGCAAAAAAGTTCGCAACCATCCACAGGATTGAGCACCGATCCCCGGATTTTCCTATTGGCCATGGACGCGCGGCGAAGGAGAAGGCGGCGAACTGGCCCAGCGAAGGCTGGAGCCAAGCGGAAGGTCGGAGCCAGTTTTCGTTGTTTTTTTCGCGCCCGTCGGATCCCAAAGCGCTGTGGATGGTTGCGAAATCCATTTCGTACCACTTGGAAGCAATGGCCATCCACAGTAGGGCTAATTTCCGAGATTTCGGGTTTCATAGTTCCACCAAGGATTTTTCCAGAGGCCCTACAAGCGGGACCCCTTTTGACACCCTGCGGCCCATATTTCGGACAACCCATTTGTGCATCGTTTTGCTGGTTTTGCACCTCAGCCGTTGGCACAAGCCACAAGCGTGTCGGCCGGTTCGGGCGATGCAGTGAGGCAGGCAAGAAGGACGGACGAGTTGTCAGGTGCTGGATTTTTCCCTTGCGACAAGGCCTTTGCATGGTTGTTGTTGGGAAACATTTTTTTTTTCATTTTTGCTCATTGTGGTTTGGTGCTGGAAATCCAACCGCACTGCTGACTTCCAACGTCAACCAAGTTTGGTCTGTTTGAAAGCTCAACGGGCGCGGTCCAAGTTTGCCGGGCTCAGGCACTGGCGATGAGCAGGTTTCGGCGCCTTGCGGCAGGCGCGAGAGGGCCTTTTGGGCGTCGTGCGCGAAGAGGCGGCCAGAAGCCAAGAGAGAGCAAGCAGTTTGACTTGGAGTTAGGCTTTCAGACCTGCCTGTTAGTGTACACCATATTTGGAGTGCTGAATTTGAGTTTCCGGAATGAGGCAGAACAAATTGTGTGAGCATACTTCTTTTGTAGCGGACCAGTGGAAGTGGACGAAACCAACTTGTTGCGATACCTCCCTCCATATTTTGAAATGCGTATGCGCTTCCCCAATTCGTACTTATCCCTGTTCCATGTTCAAATCTCAGTCTTGTTTGGGGTGCCCAACTTGGCCCCCTTGTGTCCGTGTACTTGGCACGGCGACGGTATTGGACAAGGAAACATTGGAAACAGAATCTGAGCATCGGAATATCCAAGGCGGAGGGAGGCGTTTCAGCGCACCAATCTGAAGTGCTTTTCTCAATATATTCCTTTCGGCATGAGATTGAAGCAGCCGACTTCTGCTACTCGATAAGACAGTAAAATAAGAATCTGAAGGTCCCCTAGCCAGATCTTCACGTCGATCATTTGAGGATAGATCGTGCCTTTTGACAGGCTTTGAGAGAAGCTCCTGAAACAGCCCCTGGCTATCTGAAAGGAAAGCAGAGCCTCCAGGAAAGCCGTGCCAACTAATGGAGTCCATGGATGAGCGCAGGCAATGCACACCCAATCTCTTGCCCTTCACAAAGGGGCCAGAACAAATACAATCTGAACACGAGGGCAGACAACGTTCAGACAACTTGAACGGCAACATGCAGCCAGCTGAATATGACCCAAAAGCCCCGCTGGGAAAGGCCAGAAAGGCGCAACAAAGACCCGGCAGGCACCGCAGCAGCCGCGGCCACTGGGCTGGAGAGGCTTTTATTGAACCCACGAACCAGGGCCGCTGCAAGGGGTTTTTGCGCAAATTCAGGTTCAGGCGACGGCTGCTTCGAGGTGGTATCATGTTCTTTGGGGATTTTGGGGCCGAGGAGCTCATAATCAAGCACGAGAGTCAAGGACATGAACCAACTCCTTCAGTGATCCGGGTGGTTGGGGTCGCGCCCTGCCTCAAGCAGACTCATGTTGAAGAGGGATCGAGGTTTCGGCAATTTTTGTACGCAGAGCAGGACCAAAGTCGTTTTTCGTCTCCAAGCAAGCGTTTTTCCTGTCGGCCCAGGTTGTGGGCGGTGGCGGCGCTTATGCCATGTATCGCCAGAGGCCGGTGAGCATTCGCCGATGTCGGGGCATTCGTTGGAGTCCGAAGATTGGGGAAGCAACGTCTTACGTGATCCTGGAACCCACATGTGCTGGCAATGCTTGGGCGACCAACCGCACCTAGACGGCGTTCAATGTTGCCTGAAACAGTTCTGGCAACCGGGTTGTTTTTTTCTTCAGCGAGCTTGAGAGGAGTTTCCGCCCCAAGTTCGCTCCCGTGACAGGCTGAAGCACAACAAGGCGGTCTCCGCGGAGGACTTCAACTCCTCCCAGAAGGCCTTCGGCGGGGCGTCTGCACTGCGCTGGGTTTTGTTGAAATGGCCGTGGCTCAAAATTAAAGAGCTGGGGCAAACCGCAGGTTTTAGGCTTTGGCTTCATTTACTCAAGGCGCCAATTTGGTACATGTTTTTGAGCCACAGCCAAATTTCGCGAGGAGTCGCAAGAAGCCCCCCGAAAATTGTTGGAGGGTAAGGGACGATCCCCTTGCCAGAAATGGGTGCGGAGATCCGCCTTTTCAAGTCTTTGCCAGGTGTTGGAACATTGCGAGCTGTTTAATACCGGGTTTTTATTATGACTCAAATGTCCAGCAAATGGCCAACAAGAACAAAGGAGCAAAGGACTTTGGAGTCAAGCAGCAAAGTGGAAGTTTCCCAGGACCAAAAGGCATGGCCGGTGGCATGTGTGTGTGTGTGTCTCGCTGCTCGGAGGCTTTCCAACCCTGGATTTTTTGCCGGCTTAGTGTAAAGGCTTCGTGCTGCCCGCCTCGGCCAGGGGCTATTTGATTTAGAGGCTTCCTTTGAATGCGTGGCTAGCTGCGTGGCTAGCTGCGTGGCTTGGCCGTAGCCGGCCGCCCTGAGCTACAGCCATCGTTCAAGGGGCTGCAACCAGCCGACCGCAGCCGGGCGAAGCTCCAAGAGCTGTCGGGCGTCGCTTCAAAAGCAACTGGAAAGCCAAAGACTAGTCTGCGAAGTTCAGAAAACTGAGGGCAAGGCTGGCAGTCTGGGCTCAAAGGGGTTGCGACCAGGTTCAGTAAAGGGATTTGCCTGGCCCACTTCCAAGGCCAAGATCCGCAAGAGCAAGTCGGCTACTGTGAGCCATGCGTAGAGGCATGTTCCCAAGGAGCGTCAACCTCCAGCGCAGATGCCCCAAACAGCAGCCCACCGCAATCCAATGTTGGCTCTGACAGGGGGGGAGCCGGGGTGTGCGCAGGAGCGTCTGGCCCCGGCCCTGGCCCGTGTAGCCAAAAAGCAGCCGCAGAGTTTGGAGATGACGCCTGGCAAAAGATGAGGGAGAGAAGGAGGGAAGGAGGAAGGCAGGGAGGCGGTGGGAGCGCCCACAAACAAGTTCGGCCGCCCTGTTAATTCTTTACACGGTCTTTTCCACTTTTATAGTGACTCATGGAAGCCTGCATTTTGCAATGTGAAAGCACACGTCTTTTCAGAGCTTTCAATCACTGGGCGTCATGTTTGTCTGTTTTGAGGGTCCCCCCCCCAAACTAAGTTTAGGTTTCCACCGGTCTTGCCTTGGCGCTTGCCTTCTCAGGTTTCGCTACACGACCTGCCCCTACTGCGGCAAGGTTAAGGCGCGAAGCTGGGAAGTTAGGGGCCGCAGCTTATGTTTGGCCGTTTTTAAGGGGTGAGCGTGCGCCAGGGATGAAGAACAGCAGGCAGAGGCAAGTTGTTGATTGTCGATGAAACAAATGGAGGAAAATGCGGGCGGTTGCAAGCGCCGCGGCCTCTTGTTCTAGTCACCTGATGTGTGCCGAATCGCGACGCTGGCTGAGAGGCGTTCCTGGACTACTACCGCATTCCCCATGCTCCTCGCTTGCAGCCCAATTCTTGACTAGTTTGGGCACGACATGCCTTTCGCACAACCTGAGAGTTGCCATGGGAGGGGATTGTGCAAGCCTTTGGGTATGTCTCGAAATCCCGCACTGGCTTTCCTTGTGGTTTCCCTTCTTCTACCAGCCTGAAGGGGCAGCGTGGCTAGCCTCAAATGAACACACCCATTTACACATCCTATTTTTTGTGTGCGGGGCACTTGGTGCATTGGACGCCCAATAGGCTTCCCCCTTGATCTGAGGAGAGAACATGGTTTGAACAATATGGGTGTGTGCCGAATCAAAAATCGTGGCTTTCCTTTTGGTGTCCCTTTAAACCAACCTAAAAAGGGCACCCAAACACTGCACGCAACATACGAAGACATGTCAACCGCAAATTGGGCTGCGGGTAGATTCTGCTGGCATTTAGCACGATGTATGGCAATGTTTCGCTGCTTTTGTGCTGCAGCTCAATTTGTGTGTGTGTGTGTCGCTTTCTTGGGGGCCCACCATTCCTTGTGGTTTTCCTCTTGGGTTTCCTTTAAAACCAGCGAAAAAGGGCCACCACAAGTAATGACTCCTCTTGGTTTCCATGTAAAACTAAAAAAGGGGGGTACCAACTCAAGTAAAGACAGAGCCAGATCGCCAGAGGAGACCATCGAGGTGGAGCCCATGTTCAAGTCGCAACTGGCACCCAGCGAGTACAAGAAGCTGCCACAGCTCCTTTGGCCTCGTTTTTTTTCCCCAACAGCTGAAAGCTTTGGGGTCTCAGCCCAGATACGCTCCGGGGTGGTCTGGGGCGGCCCTCAGGTAAAGTTCCACGAGGGTTCCACCAGGGTTCCACCAGGGTTCCACAAGGTTCTGCGAGGGCTGCGGGGTGGTGCGAACACTAAAAAGGAGCACCGCATGCTGTTGGGGATATCACCTGAGCTTATTTTTTTCTTCTCGGGGGAGAAAGAAACCATGAGCAACGGACAACATAAGTGGTCTGTTGCTCATTTGGCAAGGACAAGACAGGGGGGAACCCGGAATCCTCCCCCATTTTCGCACAAAAGCGGCCTAATTAGCCAATTGAGCGAACGGAAAGTCATATTGTCTGGGGCTCACATGTTGTCTCCAAATGGACCCAGGTGCCCCCCCTCAAAATAAAATCAACTATTATTAATCATAATAAATAACAAATAATTAATAATATTCACAAAATAAGAGGCCTCGCCGAATGAACGAACGGAAAGTCATATTGTCTTGGGCTCACATGTTGTCTCCAAATGGACCCAGGTCCCCCCCCCCCTCAAAATAAAATAGAATAATAATAAACACAATAATAATAATAATAGTAATAATACTAATAATAATAATATTCACAAAATAAGAGGCCTCGCCGAATGAACGAACGGAAAGTAATATTGTCTGGGGCTCACGTCCCCCCGCCAAAAGTAATAATAAAATAACAATACAACAAAAGAGCAGCGCCCAGGAGAGGTCTGTCCGCGTTCAGGCTTCGCTTCGGCGGCGCAGACGGGGCCTGGCTGGTGGACAGTGATGGCATCGTGGCCCGGCAAGCTGCGCGCGGTTGCCAAATGAAATGGGCAGCGCAGTTGACCCCCGGTGGGGTTGGTTGAAAAGACCGCGATTTTTTCGGGGTTTTTCGGTTTTGACACAGACCCAGATGGGCAATGGGGGGCAGTCGTTTACAGTTGCTTGTTGCTTGTGGAATCGGCAGGGCATGGGCGGAGCATTGCATTTCCGCCAGAAGCGGCAGGAAGCCAAGCCAGTTGTTGTTGTGAGATGGGCGGGAGCACCAATGTGGATACAGGCTCATTGCAGACGGTCTGGAGCCCTTTTCAGTTTAGCTCATGGCACTGCTGCACCATCTGCACCGGAGAATGTTTTGGCCCTTCCAGGGTCCCTCCTGACAAAGACCACTCTCCACTTGAGCATTTGGCTCATTTGGCTGTCTTTCTGACGGTCGGTTTTTAGGTGGACACCTTGGCTCCCTTGCTGGGCATAGAGAGGCAGCTGAAAGACCCAGAGGCTGGATGGGCAGAGGGCTACGCCGGAAGCACACGGTGTGGTTTGAGCAGAAGGTTTTGCTCCAAGCAGCTGCTGGCCCCACTCGGATATGCGGGGAAACATCGGTTCATGCAAGTGCTCCTTCATTCTTGCAGGCCTTTGCCTGAGTTGTTCTCGTGTTGGTGTGCTAGGCCCCTCATTGAAGCTGCTTATGTTTGGGAGCAACTCGAGCTGTTGCTACCAGTTCTTTCCTTCTTTGTCAAATCCAAGCCAGGGCTGCTTCGTACATGCCCGGCCCGGATCAACATGGTTTTGAGCGGGGCGGAATTTTCAAGTCCTGAGAGATTACGTCAAGCTGCTGCTGTCGCCTCGTAGAGAGGATGAGCCTCTTGCACCTGGAAATGCCTAAGGGATGGCTGCTCTGGCAGCTGATTTTGCAGATCAAAGCCCTGGAGCAAGTTTTTTGTTTCACTTGGAAGTCATCCCTTCGCGGATCCCATCAACTTTCGCGTCGGCAATCTTGTGAGTTGCCCAACAAGCACGCAAAGCCGCCGGAAGGAAAATTCCGCCAGCTCGGGGAGGCTTTTTCAGCCGTTTGCCTGCTCCTGACCTGAATCCAAGCAGAGCACCTCCGCCGCCGCGAAGTGAACCCGAAATTGCTGGAAGCCGGCCTAAACCTGCGCCATGCTGTATGACAAGGCCGAACCAAAACCCGAGAAAAAAGCAAACAGGGAGGAAAACCACCGACTCTGTGCGCCGTAAGCCTACCCGAAAGCAATCCACTTCTGAAAGCCTTGACCGGAGCCAACCAATCGCAGTACAGAGTTTGGCATTGCTCGGGCAGAAGGCTTGTGCCACAATCAAAGCCCGGGAAGTGCAAGGGACAGTCCCAACAGCCGCGGCTGCTTTTTATTCATGGTTTCGGGTAGACCACTTCAATGGGAAGCCCGGAGTGGTAAACCCACCCTATATTGGAGGCGTTCCCCACGAAAGTGCAAAAGATTCCCAGAAGGGGCCACCCCAACTAAAATCAACCAGGTTCCACGTAGATCCGACGTTCCCACAGCCGTTTGTGCCTCTCAGAGTGATCCCACATTGCTCTAGAGGTCCAACGCTGGCGCGGCTGGGCGCGGGAGTCCCTGGTGCGGCACGTGACGCTGAACATCAACAGGACCGCGTAGGGACTCAAATGAAGCGTCACACCATCCCATTTGACTAGGTTCGGAAGAGGCACATGGTTTCTGTTTCTCAAGACAAACAGCTTTCAAACTTAGATCCTTAGCCTTTATGAAGAGGCTACACGGTTACATGTATGTGGAGGCATCCTTGCAGTTTGCAACGTTTGAAGGCCGGAAAACTCAGACGTTGTCGAAGCTGATTTGTCCGCAGGACCCTCCTCAGTGCCTGGGAGGGCTATAGATCCATGGCAGCAAGATCTGAACTCGTGGATGTTCGGTTGGCTACAGATGCGCCTACGGGGTTGAGCAGCGGTCAGGGGATGATCTCTAAGAAACAACCCGGAAGATACTCGCAGGGAACGAGCATCCATGTTTGCAAACCACATCCGATGTGCAATCCTAACGGGCAAACAAATACATCCATGCGTAGGCGGTGTGTTCTGAATGTTCCAAGTGGCCCCACATTCTGCTTGCTTTTATTGTCAGTTTGTTAGTTATTTAAGCTGTTTGCTTGTTTGCTGGCTGGCTTGTTTGTTTTTTTGTTTTTGTTTGTTTGTTTGTTTTGTTTGTTTGTTTGCTTGCTTGCTTGGTTGTTTGTTTGTTTGTTTGTTTGTTTGTCACTGATTCACTGATTCGCTGAACGAGTCGCATATGCAGTGACCTTCACCCGCCTATGCCGGAGCAGGCGTGTCGAATTGATGGTGCGCTCTTTAGGTCGCTGTTTCTACGGCCGGGAATTGCGGATTGCATAACACGCAACAATGACACCAGCCCAACTTGTAGTGGACAGTTGTGCCACAACTCTTGCCACACAATGCTGCTGAGTAAAGGATTTTTGACAGCTGTCGCCACAAGAGACTGGGTGACCTTCACGGCAACTGTCCCAAAGCCCGCCAAGGATATATCGACGCCTTCGATACCATTCCGCTGGCCAACAAGATATTTCTCAAGGACTGGCTTCATCGAGTCACTGAGACTGGCAGTTGCATGTTGTCATCGAGGGCATGAAGCATGAGCTGCCACAGATGGCTCAGCAGGGTGGAAAGCCACAAGTGGCCGCCTCATGTCGAGGTTCAGTCAACATGCCCAGTCTGTGGTCTCACAAACCTCAGAAATTCTCAGAAACCTCACAGCAACGCACGAATTGCCATGTCCATTGTGAGTGCTCATAGTTCATGGAGTTGCAAGCAGAAAACAGCGGCCGTTGTCGCATGTGGCTTGCCAGGTGGTGGGAGCTCCAATCATGTGCCGTGGCTGCAATGGCCAAGAGCGATCGCCTGTATAAAACCCCGAGGCCATGTTAGGTGGCTTCTGCCCGGTTCAATTGGGGCAAGAGTAAAGCTTGTATAAACCTTCATTGCCACAGTAGAAACCAGCAGTTCATGGGTTTCGGTTGCTCAGCTTTGATGCACCAAGCCGATGCAACAGCTTTGCAGCACCTCTTGCTGGTGTTCAGTAAGGAATATGAAATGGAATGACCCCTATGAACCATTCCTGGTTTCCTTTCAGACCAAAGCCCGGGTTCATTCCAACTCATTCCCTCCCTATCGCGGTTTTTAGACGTGCCTGCGCAAGGTACATGGTTGCAGCGAAGAAGACCTATCCCACGCTGGTGAAGGCTGGTGAGCTTAAGGACTGGAGCCGAGTCGAGCGAGTCGGAGGCTTGTTTTTTTTTTTGGGGGGGGGGGCGGTGGTTTTGTGATTTGGCGGCTAAAAAAACCGCAAAATTCCAAAATGGGTTGAACCCTGGCAAGAGGAAACATGGACCACACCCTGCGGTTTGCCCCTCCGATCGTTTAATTTTGAGCCACAGCCATTTGGCCGTGGATCGGATCCCAAATTTTGGGGTGGATTGGTGAATTCAGCACCCATGTTAGGCTTCCTATTTTAGTGGGAATTGGGGTGTAACCAATGGGGGTACGATTTGGATTTTGACCCATGGCCACCAACAGTGGCAAGCCCAGCCATCAGGCGCCTGAGGTAATAAAGCTTTGTAGTGTTTGGTGGTTGGATTTCCATGCAGCTCACAAGTTAAACTTTGAGCGGGGGATCTGAAAACGGGCAGCCCGGTCAAGAGAAGCCTATGCTAAGCTTCTCATCAGAAGGCAGACACCGACCGCTCCAGGACGGTGATGATTGGCGCACCGTTTTCCATCAGCACCTGGTCAATGGGATACGCGCTTGAACCAGCATGCTCACTTTCAGCGGTTGCAATTGGTTATGGTCATTGCAAGCATGGGAGCTTGAGGCTATTTCAGCTGGGAGTGACACAAGTGGATGCCAGAGTATCAAAGCACAAGTCTGGACGTTTGTTCAAAAAGTAGCAAGTTGTTCAGTTGGCGTTGCCGGTTCAAGGAATTCATTAGGATGGTTGGGGAGCAGACCCACGTTCCCCACGTTCCCTTGCACCAGTCAGCTAACACGTCGCTTCTCGAACTTTGAGCATCAGGGTTTGCATATGCTGCTATGTCAAAAGCAGTCGGCGGGTGAGGATTCACCCGCAGGCTCATGACATGATCAGATGGCGAATCGCTTTGCTGAGCAGACTCACACATTGACGGGGGATTTCTCGAAGATGTCTGTCGAAGGGTGAACCATTCAGCAATTAGACACGTGGCAATATATTGAGTTGTGGCAAGCCTTGGTGGCCTGCCACACAGATTTGGTGATACAGCTTCACATGCAGAAGTCCCGGGCAAAAACAGGGATGGCAGAGGCCGGCTTTTTCAAGGGATGCTTCTTTTGCGTTCACTCGAGGCAAGTGAACCAGTTCACGGAGGAGGCTGGAGCAGAGAAAGAGAGACCTATGTCCGACTCTCTACCTACTTAATGGCAAGGGGCCAGGAAGGCTCCTGGCGCTCGTATCGATGCGATCGAAACCGGCGCAATGCCAGGGATTTGGGACCAGTCCGCGGGGTTTTGCTCCACGTTTCCATTTACCAGGGCAACCCATTTTGGGGTTACCCCACCCACAGACAGTTGAGAAAGGTGATGGGATCAAACAGATACCGTTGCCGTCAGATTTTTTTCCAGCCCTGAAATCATCGCCCGCCCTGGAATCTCGCCTGCCAGTTCTCGAGAAAAAAAGAAAACTCAACTTGCTGGTGCTCAGTCAGGAATGTGGGAATGAACCCAGAAATTCCCTTAAAGGAAACCACCAGTTGGATGGTTTCTCAGGTTCCATTTCTCTTTTTTCTGCATCTCTCGCCATTGGCCGCCCAGACGCGCGGGCAGGCGGTTGGCCAGAAGCAGTTCCACGGAGGCAAGCAGCCGGACCTCGCGGATCTGGATGTTTACGGGGTGCTGCAGTCCATCCGAGGTGCCTCGGACCTCTGGGCTTAGCCAAGTTGGCTGTGGTCATTTGACCGTGGATCGGATCCCATTTTGGGTGGGATTGGTGAATTCACCACCCATGTTAGGCCCACTATTTTAGTGGGGATTGGGGGATGTTCACTGGGGGTACGATTTGGATTTTGACCCATGGCCAGTTGGTGGCTGCATCCTGCGCGGATTCCTTTCGGGAGATGTTTTTTGTTTTTTTGGTTCTAGGTTGGAGCCTTCCAACATGGTGGTTTTCGTTTTGGCGTAACCCCCCGGCCCCAACAAAAAAGAAAAAAGAAAAAACAGAAAACGGGTACTCCCAAAAAAGACAGACCCACCGAATATTGGGGTACCAAGTTTGAGGGCACCCTGGGGTTGGTTGCAAGGGACCATTTGCGGAGGCCAGTCATTGTGGGACCCCCTATCTTCATACAACACCGTCAATACCCAAGTTTGCCAGAACGTGCCAGTTCCTTTCCACTCGAAATGCATCGAACAAAGGTTGTGAGGTGGTTTCGGCTCCACTGGATCGCCCTTAGATCCTCTGCCCAGCTCGATTGCCACCATACTGAAAACGTTGGAACATGCTGTGGACGGACGAAATAAACCCTGCACCACTTTGAAGTTTTGGTATTTACAGGGAAGCATCGTTCAGGCTTCTTGGGCGGCGCGAAATGGATTTCGCAACCATCCGCAGTGTGATCAGATGGCTGTGGGGTTGTCTCAAGATAGGCGAGCCCCCAAAATGCGGCGATTTCCTTTTGGTCTCCTTTTCAAAGCATCCAACGGTCTCAAAAGAAGGATGCCCATGTGCCTCGCATTTCTCCAGTCTCCGCGTGGGCTCGAGGCTTGGCGAGCTTTGGGGTGTTGCTTTTTTTGGTTTGAGACTCTCAGTGTTTCCCACTGGGGGTGGTGGGGGTGGTGGGGGTGGTGGGGCAAGGTGATGTTTTATGAGCTGGGCACCCCGAGGGCGCGCCCCCCCCCCCCCCACCACCATTTTGCACGAACAGACCTTGGCCCGAGTCCTGAGGCCACGATGTCTATCAAGACATGTTGCAGAGCACCCGCATTGGTCCCTGGATGGCGCGGATGGATAGAGCCCTGGGTGCTGAGCGTCTCGGTTTGGTAGCGATCTGGTTCCGTCTGCCAGATGTGAAGAGTGAACCTTTCGGGAGGGCTTCATTTGAGAAGACCCAAGAGATTGGCGCCTCCATTTCAAATGTCTAAAGCCTTCTGTGCCTTTGAAAACAAGCAAGCCAAAGGCTCCTGGTGATGACCCACTAGATCTTGGAAGGAGCTTCCTGGATAAAGGGCTCACTTATTTACGTTCGGAAGTGCGTTGAATGGCTTTGTTGTTTGGGACATGTACGCATTCGCTTTGGACCATTCCTGCCGCCAGCCGTCCTTTGTTGCTCTACACGAGCTTGGCGAACGAGGCTCTAGATTACCATTAACACTGACTTGCTGGCTTGCTGGCTTGCTGGCTTGCTGGCTTGCTGGCTTGCTAGCGTGCTGGCTTGCTTGCTTGCTTGCTTGTTGGCTGCTTGCTGGCTGGCTGGCTTGCTTGCTGCTGGCTTGCTTGCTGGCTTGCTCGCTTGCTCGCTCGCTTGCTTGCTTGCCTGCCTGCGGGTTGTGAGCTTGCTTTCATGATGCGTGCTTGTTCTATCCGCTTGCTTGTCGAACATGCAATGCCAGGGTCATCTTGAGCTCCATGCCGGTCTCTGCTTCGCCCAGGTAGGGCAGCTGGCGCAATGATTCTTATTCGAAACACCCCGAAGCTTGGAGTGCCTGGGCCGAAGGACTTCTTAGCGAAATCGTGGCATCTGCAAGCCGGGGCCAAGCGCTTGGCACTTCAAAGCGCAAAGTGAGGACCCTGGTGATAGTTGGGCATCGGGCATCAACTCTGAAATCTGGAAAGGCGAAGTATGGCACATTTCATGGGTCCTTTGGAGGTGGTAGAAGCTTCGGCTGCCCAGGCCCTTTTTGAAGCTCAGGGGCCCAGGCGCTGCCTAAAACGGGCGTGGCTGTTGGCAGTTCCCCGTCGAGACGAAGACCGAGCTTGGTCGCACAGAAAATGACTTCCCTTTCTGCGCTTTTATATGCCCCGACGACTTGGTGAACTGGTTTTGACTGCGCCATTTCTGGCGCTCAGTCGGGAAGGAAATGAATCAACCCAGGCTGTGGTCCCCTCAAAGGAAGCCACTTTTGGGGGGGTGGTTTCGGGGTCAGACTGAATTTCTTAGGGCCCCGCCTCTCGAATGCGATCGCGGCTTCGTCTCATTTGGCCTTGGCGAAAGGCGTGAGGAGTCTCGTTCCGGGACGGTGCGTCGATGCTCCCCGGAACAAAAGGAGCTGCCGCGGGGCTGACCTTGTCTGATGAGGTTCAGTCCAACAAAATCCATCAAACTTGGGAGGGGGCTCCCCCCCCGAATTTGCAGGAAAAGCTTTGCCAGTTTTCCCATGTGGGTATGGGTCAAAATTAACCCACCGGGGGACCGCAGGTTTCAGTCTTTGTTTCCATTTACCAGGGCAAGCCATTTTGGGCACCTATTTTTGACCCACACCCATGTGTGCGGGGCAGCGCATTTTGGCCCTGGCTGGCAGATTGACTGGGCCCCACGCCTGCACACATACAGAGGAGACCTGCCTACTTTGTTTTGCTTGGACAGGTTGCGACAAGTGGGGGTTGATCAATATTCCTGGCCCCCAAATGATGGGTAACTTGTTCCATGTGGGACATATTGAATCTTTTTCGTGGTTTTCCAACCAGTGGTCATCCCATGTTTATTGGACCTTTTGAACTTTTAAGTGTCAAACCGTGGATTCTTCCGGTTGCTCCCGCGCACTTGAGGTGTAAATTTAAGAGCCGCGCTCCATAGATGAGCTGTGCGAGTACGTACATGGCTGTAGTGAGGAGGAATTCATTTGGCTGTGGGTCAAAACCAATGGTACCATTTCGGGGTAGGTCACCACGCATTTTAGTCTATTTTAGTGGGGATTGGGATGTTCACTGGTGGTACGGGATTTTGACCCATGGCCATTTTTGCCTGTATGATACAGAGGTTTCTTGATCTAAAGCCCTACTTGCATGCCTCTTGGATTTGGAGAACTCGTGCAGTTTGGGATCATCGGCGGGGGCTTGAAAGCATGCGCCCACTCGTGGAAACCGATTGGATGGACACCTTTGGAGTGATGGGGAAGTCCATTTCACGGTGTCTTTTCTTCGGAGCTGGTACTTTTTTTTTGCTGGTTTCAAAGGGACACCAAAAGTTGGAGACCCCGTGATTTTTGGAGGGTCCAACCTAAAAACAAAGACGCATCCATTTCCTGCAATACCCTTAAATTGATCTATCTGGGGCCAGTGAGTGACAGAGCGACGGCCTGAAGCAAGTCTGGTCCAGGCGCGACGGAATCATCCGAGCCTCCCGTGCGCAGGCCTGTGTGTTGACTGGAGTCGGAGGATCGGCCAAGCTTAGCACCCTGCACCCTGCCAGCTGGTGAAAAGAGATGATGTGCACACGGATAGACGCTGAGTAGGGCGAGTATTCTGAGGAACAGGATGGTTGGGCACGATGCCTCTGTAGCGGGCGCGTACGGGCTCGCACAGATTCGACCAGCTTTGCCAGTGTCTCAGGGGCTTTTTCCATGGTTCTCGAGATAGTGGACCCCAAGCATGTCAGGGGTGGCCGAGATTTTCGGTTTCCCTTGAGAGGGCAAAAGCTCGCGGGCATGCAGGATTTCTTCATCCGTGGTGCCGACAGAGGCAAGTCCGCAAGCCTCGTGTTTGAGCAGATAGGCTTGGCCACCTGAGCTTGCGATCTAAAACCGGATAGAGGTCAAGGGAGAATCCCCTTGCCATAAATGCGTGCAGATATCCGTTTTTTGATAGGTTTTGATGATGACTCACCTGTGCGGTCAATACGTCTGAGATGGTAAAGTATTTGGGGTGAACACGATGGCCGGAACAGACACCAAGGTTTCACAGTGCTCGATCATTGGGTCGAGCATGAACCATTCATTTCATGAATCATTGTTTGAGGAGCCATGACCATCCTGGCATACCAGTTGAGTATTTTGCTTGAATGCTCATAGCTCAAGTCTCCCTATGACTGGGTCCGGGAATTTGTTTAGTCACCTCACATTTCGCTTGCTGAATGATCTGCCGATCAGCAATCAATCCATCGGCAGCTTCGCATGCGCCGTCAGGCAGAGACAGGTGCGGTGCAGCTGAGGAGCGGGGCGTCTTGCAAGATGATTTGGAACCAGGAAATGGCTCCCGCTATAAATCATTTTTGCCAATGTGATTAATATATATATATATATATACATATATAATACAACATAAATATATAAATCCAAGATTTCCGGAATACTTATCATTTAGCAGGCCTTTCTGCGCCATGCTCAGCCAAGCGCGACTTTCATATTTGAGTAGCCGTCACATTGCTTCCAAATGGCACCCCTGTTCTAGCGCCGCGTCGTCAATGGCTGCTTTGCTGCTATGTGATTTGCCCCTTGCGCGGCTCAGCGATTCATCCGCGAGCTCACGATTGCGCCCTTGCCAGCCTGAGGAGGGCTTTGCATCTAACAGGCGGAGGGAAGGGCCTGCGATATGTTGACCGGAATTGACGCGGATTTCATGGCTTTGGTGTGACGCGTTTAGACCCTTCAGACCTTTTGGACTGGCTTTGCCATTAAGGAGCGAGGAAATGGACTTGCGGGAACACCCGCGCTGATCACACCCAGAGCATGGAGCATGCCATGGAGCTGGGCAAGACGTTGTCTTTCATGGAGTCACGATGCTTTGCTCTGGTGGAACTAGCACGCGATTTGGATCATTTGAGAGCACCGTGTCCGTGGGTTGAGGAGCCTTTGCTATCAGTGCCTCATGCTTGTGTTATTTGCCTGATTGTTTGTAGGATGTTGTGCAGTTGTCCGCTTGTGCGGTATTCATTGCACTTCATACTGACAACATTGGGTTTGATGTGACAGTCAGGTGGTGTTATGGAGACAGGATTCGCATTTTTGCAAATGAGTCACGCGCGCCAGGGAACTTTGCTGATTGGCGCACAGACTTTGCCGGTGGCTCAGCATTGACACGTGGTACCTGGCCATGTTGACAGCCATTCGCTGCTTGCATTCAGTGAGGCACCGACGCGACTGCGGCCGGTGTCCTGTGATGAGGTGGGTGTAAAACTGCAGATGCAGAATGTCAATCCTGGATCGAAGTAGAACCCCTGTTGTTTGTCTCCCTCCCTCCCTATTGTGTGGCAGGATGTTTCACCCTTCTGGCACATGTCCGCTTTCAGTGGGGCTTCATCACTTTTGGAGACCCCCCACATTAGTGCGATGGGCTTATTAATCTGCGAGTGTAGGTTGGGAGGGGCAGAGCTTCTGAGTGCAGGCATGCGGGTCCTGTTTTTCCAGTCGTCTTTTCCTCCACGTGGGAGCGACGTGGGGGGCACTCACTGGATTTCCCATTCGAGGGGAACGACAAATTTTTTGACCGTGGCTCCGGCGAGCTGCAGGGCTCCCGGCTGCACCTCTGCGCGTGCCTGCGCCTCACCTCGCAGTCCTTCAGCTTTCAGGCGCGAAGGTGGGTGCGTGCCATGTTCAGCGTGCTGAATTCGGGGTGTTCCTTTTGTTGGGCGTTGTTTTGGTTGGTTTGAAGAAAAAAGAATCAAAAGGAAAACCATTTTTTGGGGGGTCCTGGTATTTTTCACATGCCCAAGATCAGGCTGCTGCTTTGCATGTTGGAGTCTTTGGCTTGCTTGAAATCCTGCCTGTGGTAAGTGGGAGCCAACCAGCTGCAATTACGTACGCATTGCTTTGCCGGTTTGTTCTGGGGTCAACTGTAAGTGCCTTTAGGGTGTAGGCCTTAGGGTCAACTGACTTCGGGAGTTGAGGTTTTGGTTCAGGGTCAGTGCGGTTGCAGGGCGTTGGTTTAAGCTCGGGTGACTTTGCGGTGGGATTGCAGCTCTCTCAAACTGTTTGAGTATTGTACTTTCTGCCTAGCGCCATGCAGACCTAAATATATGCCAGGAGCAGCAAAGTTGCGTTTTTCGAGCCATGGCGGAGGTGTGCTTCGCGTACTAGACTTGTACTTCGCGTACTAGACCAGGTCCTGGTCTCTGATCCCGGTGGCATTTAATTCGGTTCCAGTTTTGTCCGTGAAAGAGGGGTCTGTGTTTGGCACCAGGCACCCGCGAATCTGAGAGGTGAACGATTTTGATTGAGTCACCTCTTGGCTTGCAACGCCATGCTTAACTGGAAATGCCACAATCAAAACCCGGGTAGATGAAGCTTAGTAAGGGATGATCCCAATCAAACATGAGAGTGGTTTTGGGTACCCTCGCACCAATCAACACGGAACCTGACGTTCTGGAACCCGGTCCCTTGAAAATGAAAATGGTCCAAGCCAGGAGCCCCCCGAACTCCCCAGGTTCCATGTGAAAAAAATGGGAGGACTCTGTCCATCTCAATACCAACCAATGACATTGGATGCTCATCTTGCCCCATGCAATTCCACCGGGCATCTGAGTTTTGGTATCGAGCATTTGAATACTGTGGACGACAATCCTACGGTTCAGAAACCCCTGGTTTCTGATTCGATAGCGCCATCCACCGTATATCCACCTCGCCGCTGATCAGCCGAATGGCGCGCCTCGCATCGACGGCAGGTGGTTTGCGCCGAGAAGTCTTGGACCTGGCGCTTCTATCCCCGGGATGCCAAGCCCATCAGGCGAAGGGGGGCGCGTGGCTGGTGGGATCCTTCTTTTGAGAAAACCTCCGGACGGCTTTTTGAACAGAACGATGGTTGACAAGACTGGTCGGAACCAACCCCTAGGCACGCGTTGCAAGCTGTGCAGGTTCACTCATGTCTCCAAAGAAGGTCGTCTGGTGGCCGGCGAAAGGGATGCTGTGGGGAGCTCATGCGGACGCGAAAACGGGATGATTCTTCGAGGCGTTCGACCCCGTCTGGCCCACCTGTTGACTACAGATGCCGCCTCACTTCCGCAAACGGCAGTTGTCGAGGCTTGCAGGCAGAGTGCGTTCACAGCCATGTTACGCCGCGTGCTCTTTCTTCCAGGTGTGTAGGGTGCTGGCCAGATGTTTCATTGCTGAGTGGGAAAAACTCACCTTTTTGAATCACGCTTCTCAAGATGGGGCAAACGGAAGGTCCGGAGATCTGCTTACACGGCCATTCTCGGCTTACCATCCTAGGTGGTTGTGGCCATCGGGGACATGCGGGCAGGCCCATTTGGAGAGTGCTGGCGGGTTCGATTCGCTTCTTTCAGCCTAGGTGCAACAATAGGTACCCACAATGGAACCCTGGCAAGTGGAACCATGGACTAAAACCTGCGGTCAGGCGGTTCGATTTTGACCCGTACCCACCTGGTACTGTGATAGCCGCAACTTTCAATTGGCAGCAAACAAAAGTCCTGCCAGATGGGGTCAAGTGATTTGGTCGCGTTTGGTTTGGCGTGAAACTCCTGTAGCACAGTTCTGGCAAACATTCAGCTCAGCTGCAGCCCAAAGAGACGTGTGTTTGCAGAATGAATTCGGCTAGACCACCTGCAACAGTTGTATGGCTGACATGCCAGCTATTCTGGCCGACTTTCTTGGCGAGTCTCATTTTGTCTTGCAGCTCTCAAAACCCAGCAAATGCATTGCACTTGCCATGCGAAGTGCTGGGGCAGCACTTGGCTTGAACACTATCTTTGATAGGATACAATGTGATATGGTCATTCAGAGATGCTGCTTGAACCGTGGATATTGGAAGGAGCCGGTTTTTCGAGCTTTCTCCAATGGCATTCCTCGTGGGGGATATTCATGTGGCCATGCAGTGTAAGAATTGGAGCCACCTCACGAGTAATTGGCGGACATGTTTTTTGTTTGCCAAATTGAAATGTCCAGCATTTCGAGTCCAGAACCAATATTTATAATTTCACAACCCCTGTACTCGCAGGGGGTCTCAAGGGACGTTTCGAGGATCCAGATCTTTTCGCGCGGTTGAACCTCCTCTGGCCAGGCCATGGCTTGAACTTCCACGTGGTGGAGCCGCAGACTTAGATTCGGCATCTCGAAATCATGGCCATGGAAACCGGAGGACGCTCCGTTTAAGGGTAACCTGGTCTTAGAGAGATGTCAACCCGAGATTTTTGAAGACAACAGGTTACGCTCGCAGCTGGTCTCTTGGGAGCGTTTTGCTTTTTGGGGTTTACTTAGCAAGGCCTCAGAATGGTTCGCCCCGGGGCTGCTTGGCAAGCTGATTGACTAGCTTAGTGTTTGAGGAAGCCGGGCGTGGTGGTGACCATTTGGGTCGAGGCGCAGATAGACTCGATTGTTCATGTCGTGTCAAACAAGTAGACATGCAAAGCATGCGGTACTTTGTTTTGTCGCCCGGGCGGCATTGTTACTTCCGTGTGCTGCCATGGGGCGCGTTCAGAAAGAAACTGGTGAGGAGTGGGAGGGAGGAGCACCACCTGCAAGGCGACAGGTATGCGCGTGGCGAGGATGTAGGCTATGAGGAGTTTCTGGTGACACCCCCATACCTATCCAGGCCCGCACAAGCTGGCTCTGGGCCAGAAAAGCAGCGGGCCCCCTCAAACTTGCAAGCCTTTTTCTTGTTTGCTTTTGGAAGGTCGGAAGCGAATCTCTTTTTGAACTCCTGTGTTCGCATCACTTCCACGATTTTGGTTTGTGTGTCTTTCATGGCTCCTGCGGCGAACCTAACTCGCACAAAGAATGAACAGATGAGAGGTTCCGAGCGGGACGCTATTTTCGATTCAGCAGAGAATGTGAGGCTGTTCGAATCGGCTGTTTTTGTGCCCCTTTTAAGGCCCACACATGAGCATTTGGTGCTGAAGGTCGTGGGAGGCCTGTTCACTGGGCTCCGGAGTGGCATTTCTCTTCGTGTTGGTCTCACGGGATCAGCCCTGCCAGGTGTGCGCGCTCCCCAAGGAGTGCCGCAAGATGGGCCGGTCGGAGTTTTTTGCACGAGCCCTTTCCAGCACCATGTCAATTTATTGTTGGCCTTTGGACCCGTTCTTTTTCTTGACGCAGATTGCCGAAAAGAACAAGGACCGCCAGACTGCCAGGTTGCCTTTTTTCGCTGCACGTGGTGAGGGGGGGATCCTGGGTCCCGTTTTTCGCAGCTGCCAGGAGCCCGGGATCATGGACATGGACTTTTCCATCGCGGGGCGTGTGTGGTACACGCTGGAGGCCTCAAAAAGAGATGGACGGTTTGGGAGGGCAAGGGTTTGAGGGTTCGACGGTTTGCAGCAATTTTCTAATTGCATGGGGCTGATTTAGGGAGTCGGCAGGCTTGAAAGAGTGGATTTTTTCAGGTGTTTGGAAGCTGCAGTTAATTGTTGGCGCACTGGAGAATGCGCAGCGTTCTGATCAGGACACGGGAGTTCAGTATGAGGGTGGCGATGGAGTTGATCTTGACCGCTACAAGTGGCTCGGCGTAAAGAAAAGGGCGGGGCGTCTATGGGCTATGGACAGTCTTGCGTTTCAAAGCAGAATGTGTGTTTTCAGTCAGTCAGTCACCCAGTCTGACAAACAGCCCAAGGCAGTCTGAGTGTGAGGGTTTGAAGTGCCGCGACTGATAGGGATTGAGCCAGGTATTGGAGCACGTGCGCTTGGTCCAAGAGAATGGGACAGGGCATTTGAAGCTATGATGAAAGTTATCCTGAGTCCCTTGCCTTGTTAACTCTCTCTCTCTCTCTCTCTCTCCCTCCCTCCCTCCCTCCCTCCCTCCCTCCCTCCCCTCCTCCCTCCCTCCTCCTCCCTCCCCCTCCCTCCCCTCCCTCCCTCCCTCCCTCCCTCCCTCCCTCCCTGCAAATGAGTCTCTTGCCTTTCCAAGCTAAGCGACAGAAAGGCAAATTGATCGTCCCCTGCCCCACATTCCTCTGCCTAGAGCGCAGAGAGATAGAGAACCTGACTGGTACACATGAGACGATGGAGTAGCTCCTCGTCAAGCAAGCTGCAGCATGACTGTGACTCCAAGGTGGATGGGATATGGCTGAGCTGCACAAGATCTGATCTCTGTGCATGTCTCATAGGAACAGCCACTCAGCTGGAAAAAGGCGCTCGGCCCCAAAGCAAGAGGACGCGGTCGCAGAGCATGAGATCCGCGAGTTTCGGATTCGGAGCGCCTTTTTCCGTTGCGGTTTCCGGGGGTGCAAAGTCGCTCCCAAAGGGTACGGAGTCGGCGCGGCGAAGCCGCGAAAGATCGAGCTAATGCGTTGAAGGTATTTCCATTTGCTTAAGAATGTTCTTATTTTCCCCTGTTGGTTTTAAAGGGAATCTATCACTACTGGAAACAACTCTAGTTTTTGCAGTGGGCTTAAGCCAACGGAAGTGTGTGGAGAGGTCGAATGGTCTGACTTGATCGTTTTCAATTGGACGGGAGACAAGCCGAGGTTGGTGGGCGGGATGGGATGGAAGGACGGATGGGCAGCTGCCACGAGCATATGCGCCCGGAGTCATTTCAATGAGTCAGCCGAGGGGATCAGGCACCCTTCTGCGCATAGGAATGTCCTGTTCGCTACACATGAACAGCGGCGTATCATGGTAGTGAAGCATCAGCGCCACCCTCAGCCACCTCAGCCACCCTCCGAACCTCTGGATTTGTGCCGAAATTTCATGGACTCAGCGGCGCAGGGCCCCCCATTGAGCAGTGGCCAGCGTCCAGCGGCATCCAGCGCCGGCCATGGCCGGGCAAGATGCAGATCCGGCGGAGCGAGCCTTCAGCGAGTTGCTGGCACCCATAGGCGCGCTTACCGACGACCCGGTCGTCGCCTTGCTGAAATAGGGCACTATCTTAGGAGTCCATGGGCGCAAGGTGCTTACATGTACCCAGTTGCCCAGTGGCGCCCTTTTTTCTTATTTGTTTGGAAGGGTTCTCCTCTAAACTCAACCAAGCAAAGAATGATTCCCGTTTTTCCCCATGGCCAGAGAGTAGGTTGTGAAGGCGTCTCTCAGTAGATGTGTGGTATTCTGCTGGGCAAACTCATGACCTTGTTGCGAATCGAGAGCCGCAACATCGATTGGACGCTGCACGATGTGTTTTTTCCTCAAACGAGTGCACTCCAATGCTCATTCTGGTGTACTGGCCTTATAAACTTTCTTTCGACTCATTCCGGTATACCCTCGTTTCTTTTTGAAAGCACCATTCACCGTTGTATGATGCCACTTAAGAACCTATTTTTGGCCAATGCAACATGATTCAGAAGGGATCAACCAATTGTCCATGTTGATCATTTCGTAGAAAGGAGCACACTCCCGCTCGTGCCACACAGTGCGATTGCTGCCATCCTTCTCCTTGCCTCCTCACGGCAGTTCGTGTCAACCTCCATTCGGGGCCAACATTGTCTCAGACATGCTGCAGTGTTTGTGTTTGTGGGTGCGTGTGTGTTTTCTTGCCAGAAATCAGATGCTTTGTGGCAGAGGTCAATACCTCTATTGGCAGCTGGCAAACACACAGTTCTTTGTGTTGCCTGACACAGCAATTACTTGTAAGGCATGGATGTTTGGTTATTTAACTACAGGGGATGTATGGGTGGCTCTCAAAGTTTCGACCACCCTGAACACCACCCATCTTGAAACAGCACCCTGAGCAAAAGCGAAATGAGCTGAACAAACCCAAGCTGCATGAGGCGCCTCACCCAACGCCGTGCGCCGTCGGCGCTTCTCCGCCTCCCGTTTTGAGGCGGTCAGCTGACGCTGGGCAGCACCCTGGGCTTCGTGTCCGGGGTGGCGCTGCGGACGGTGGGGCGCCTGGCGGCCGTGGGGGTGGGCTGCACCTTCTGCGTGATCCAAGGCGCACGCGGGACGGCGCACGGGGGAGGGGAGGGGTTTTGCGGGGGGGGGAGGGGGTTTTGGACGGCGGACGGCGGGGTTTTGGGGTTTTGGGGGTTGATGTTGTTCATGGGCGCCGACCAACCAGAAAAAAACATCGGCTCTGCCTGGCTGGGAGTTCTGTGGGAAGTTGAATGGGGCACCAGCTCCGGGGAATCCCCACCTCCATGCGGGAGTCCCCATTTTAGGCGTTGCGAAGAGTTGGAATTAGGACGATGTTCAGATAACATGGTCATCAATGACTCATATTGGTAGCACAGAAACGATGATGCCCTCAAGTGGGTGGCTGGGCTGGGCCAACCCCGCTGTTTTAAACACGTCTAAGCACTCAGCATATCCGCCGAAGCGGTTTGCAAGGCGGAGTTGGGTGTTTCGACATGGAATCTCAAACTCAGGGAGAGGGTACAAACATTGAAGCCGAGAACTTACAGGCGTGTCAACAACCAAGAAAAGGTCTTGGATAGGATGGGCAAATAAGGACTCCTGTTCACCAGGCCTGGCCTACAACGGCTACATTGAGGTGAACTGGCGGAAGATGGAGCGACGGGCAGTCTGGGGGAGGGAATCGAGGAAGGCGAAGCCTTTTGTGCAGTGGCTTAGACCTATGGAGGCCTGATATATCCCTTTACCACATCTCCTTGGTTGACGTTCAGACAACAGATCCTTCAGACTGGCTCCTGCAGCTGCCTCAAAGGTGGCGAGGCTGAATTGGGCTGAATTCAATCCTGGTCACTCCAAGCAACCAGGAGAAGAGCTACCTGACTCTCTTGGACAGAGACGGCGACGGTGAGGCGCCAGAACTCAGATTCGATGCCCTTTGATGCCCTGTGGGTGTCCTTTGCCTGCCTGTGCCGATTTTGGTGCTTTGGTCCTTGTTTGCTTATGGAGACAGAACGCTTGCCCAAAATAGCTGTTCTAGCAAACGTGAACATCACTGATACGACAATCACAATTAGGAGCACAACCCGATTTGCCCATGTCCTCTTCAGAAATGCAAATTGTCAGTCCAACACCCACGCAAACACACACACACAGACACAGACACAGGCACACAGACACGCAGACACACAGACACACAGACACACAGACACACAGACTACACACACACATTCCGCCCGCGCACACGCACGCACTTCACACCCGCACCCACCTGCCACGCACGCACAACTGTACACGCACAACGCAACGCAGCGCAGCACAGCACAGCGCGGCGCAGCGCACGGCGTATCGCGGCGCAGCGGCGCAGCACGGCACAGCGCAACCTGACACAGCGCAGCTGGCCACGGCTGGCGGCGCGGCACGGCTACTTTAACACCTAACCACCCCACACCACCACTGCACCTGACACGCCAACGCACGCCAGCACACGCAACCACCTAAACCACTGCACGAACCGCACACCTGCCACACACCAGCACGCACACCAGCACGCACCAACACCACAAACACAAACCCTGTACACTCACACATGTCACACTGCAGCCCAATCCTTACACCAACACTACACCAACACACGGACACACGCACTGCACGGACCACGCACGTACCTGGACACGCGCACGGACACGCACGCACACGCCACGCCACGCGCAGACGCGCCCACGCGCACACCCCCTGCCGCGCACGCGCGCACACACACACCCGCGCGCGCACCGCCTTTTCGCACGCGCGCCCACGCGCGCCCGCGCGCTGCCTACCGCCTACGCGGTGAACATCAACGTCCCGCCCACAGCGCTGCCTTCCACGGCTGCGCCCCGCGCGCGGCTGCAGCGGCGTCGCGCGCGCTGCGCCTGGACGCGCGCGCGCGGCGCGCGCGCAGACGCACTGCGGCGCACGCGCCTGCCCGCCACGCCGCCACGCGCACGCACGCGCACGCGCACGCGCGCGCGGCGCCGGCTGCGCGCCACCGCCTTTGCAGCGCGCGCGGCGCGGCGCGGCGGCGACGCGCGCGCCGGCGCGCGCGCGCGCGCGCGCACGCGCGCACGCGCGCACGCACGCGCACGCCGCCGCCGCCACCTGCGCGCACCAACACCAGCACCACTGCGCCACGCGCCCAGGCCACAGGACGCATGGCGTTTGATGTTATGCCGTGCAAATGCGGGGCTTTCTGTTTCGTTTGACCGCAGACGCATAAACGCGCCAGCGCACCGGCGCACAGACCGCCTGAGCCTGACCACGACCATAGACAGACGCATAGACGCATGAGCCGCACCAGACCCACCAGTGCAGACACAACCACACAAACACACAAACACGTAAACACGAGAAACACGCAAACACAAACACGCAAACGCGCAGGCCTGACCTTTCGACGCCCCAGGCATGAAGCCACGAACACGCAAACCACGCCGATGCTCAAACACCCACAAACACACAAGCACCAACCTGGATACAAACTGAAAGCACGGCCGCACCCAGAACTAAACCGCCGTACACAAACGCACCGACACAAACACTGAACCATATTACGCTGCTTGGTATGTATAGGGTCTCATCCCATTTCCAGCAAATCTAGTTTTTGTCCATCTACAGCATGGTGCAAACTTGTTCAATCCGTGGCCAAGAAGCGGGATGCCGAGACCCGGCCGCTGAGCGAATCTCCGTAAGGTGGGGGCCGGTGACCTGGCGGTGGTGTGGCAGAAGACCGTGGATTGCGGCCTGGATTCGGCTTGAACCGTGGGTGGGTGGGTGGGTGGGTGGGTGGGTGGGTGGGTGGGTGGGTGGGTGGGTGGGTGGGTGGGTGGGTGGGTGGGTGGGTGGGTGGGTGGGTGGGTGGGTGGGTGGGTGGGTGGGTGGCTGAGTATGTTGGAATTCTAGGGGACGGAGTGTCTTCCTTCAAGAATTGGGGGTGCAAATCCGAAACCCCTCTCCATCCAAACCACAAACCACGAATCCAAAGCACCCATTCACCAATCCAAGCCACAAATGAAACCACAACTTTCCAGACCCAACCTTCCAAACCAATCCAAACCACCGATTTGAAGCAGCTAGGCCTTGCCTTCAACCTACCTGCGGGCGTGGGCTTCACCGCTGGCCTGGCCTATGGTCTGGGCGCCACTGCTGGCACCTCCCTGCGCACCGCGCTCTTTGCACCTCGGATCGGAGGTGGGCGTGGCTCAAAATTACAGAGCTACGGTTACGCAAGTTTTGGTCATTCTTAGTCTTCAGTTCCACTTGCCAAGGTGCCATTTCAGTACATGTTTTTGAGCCACCGCCAGGTGCTTTCGATCCACTGGAGCTGCTCCTTAACAAGTTGGTTGAAAGGTGTCGAATAATCTTAAAATGCCAAGTTACGGGAGCCAGGTATTGGAGGCCTCCAGCAACGCTGAAATCTGGAAAGGACGCAAGCCTGCGTCCACGCCTCTGGTTAAAAAAACCTGCTGGCCGCAAAAAAATCCCGGCACCAGCGCCACCAAGCCTACGGGCGGGTGCCTATCCTTGGGGCCTACGGGTCCAACGGCCTTCCGTCGCTCCGAGCCGCGTGGAGCCGGAACTTCCGCAGGAGCTCCAGGGTCATCGGCGCGCCCTGTGGCCGAATTGCCCTCTTTTTTGGACCCGAAGGACTTGATGGCAGGGGGACCCAAAAGAACACCAGCCATTTTTGGACCGGAGGTTGAACCGGAGAGCCGCAGGACCTGAGACCAACAATTTGCTCGAAGGGAAGAAAGGACTTCGGAGCCAGCCAAAACTGGGCGACGTTTTGCGCGGTCTGTTTCTCCCAGCTAAAACCACTAACAAAAAGGGGCCGGCCGCAACAAAAGGCACACGCCAATGGCGACTAGTCGTGACTAGTCAGTATCGTTTTTCTAAACCCTAAACCCTAAACCCGATTTGGGTTCTCAGCGTACCGAGGCAGGTGTCGCCCCCCGCCTGCTGGCGGGGCGCATGCTGGTGGGTGGCCTGGGGGCCACGGGCTCCCCGGCCGCGGCCACGGGGCTGATGACCTGGTGGAGCGCCGAGAAGCCCAAGGCGCGAAGGCCATATGGCTGTGGCTCAAATAGACGTACCAACATGGCCCCCTTGGTACATGGAGCCAAAGACTGAAACCTGCGTAGCCCCAGCTCTTGAATTTTGAGCCACACCCATATGAAGACAACAGTGGTAACAAAAACCCCGTGTTGATGACAGCCTAGTGTGAGTAGGCAGCCGCCAGGTCCCTGATATGGCTGTGGTGGTCATTTGATTATTTTTTTGGTACCGGATCCGATTTTTTTTTGGGGGGGATTGGTGAGAATTCACCACCCATTTTCGGCGTCCTGGTTTAGTGGGTGGATTGGTTGATGTTCACTTGGGGTACGGGGAAAGGGGCGCGCGAAGGGAAGGAGAAGGCGGTGGTCTTCCTTTTTCAGGAGCCATATGGGTATGGGGGTCAAAATGTTTCACCAGGAATTGGACCACAGGTTTTAGGCCTTGGTTTCATTTACCAGGGTTCCCATTTTGGGTACCTATGTGGACAGAGGGCTGTGGCTGTTAATGGGGAGCCATATGGCTGTGGCTCAAAATTAAACAGCTGGGGCTACGCGGGATTTGGTCCATGCTTCCACTTACCAGGGTTCCATTTCGGGTACCCATTTTTGACCCACAGCCATATCATCCAGGTATATCAAACACCACTTCAAGTGCAAATTTCCCAAGCAATTTTCCATCAAATGCTGAAAGGTGGTTGGTAGCCACCGACTTGGAGGTTGGTGGACATGAATTCCCATCCACCAAGGGGTGTGGTTGGCCATTGGGCCCCTACATTTCCCCTTTCGGTGGTTTTTTTAAGCATCACCCTTTTCAGCCCATGAAAGGTGAGTGTCCCATGAAAGGCTGATGTCTTAAGGGGAACTATAGGGAGCCCTGTTGGTGGACATGAATTCCCATCCACCAAGGGGTGTGTTCAAGGGTTTCGTCACGACCTTGTGGATGTTCAGGGGAACCAGGTCCGAGCACCTGCATTGACCAGAATTTGGATCCAAATCCGCCGGCAGTCGGGAAGATGTCTCACCGGCCCATGGCAAATGTTCCTGCAGTATGGCTCAGTTCGAGAAAGCGTGTCAGTCATTTCGGGCCTTGGGTTTGTCTAGGTGCGTCCTGGCTACTGCCGCAGCTACATGCTGGGGGAGCCGGAGGAGAAATGTGCCTGGTCCACGAAGCTGTCAAAATGACGCGCCTGGCCAGGCGGGCTTGCGCGAATGCCGCGAATGCCGCGAATTCGCCCCGCGAGTTCGGAGACATCTTTTTTTGACTGGGAAGCACCTCTTTAAAGTGGCTCTGGGGGACAGAACCGCACACCTAAATGACATGAAGAGTGAATCCCCCACCTAATTTCGATCGGGAGCCACCTCAAAAGTGGCTAATTCCCCACCTAAATGACATAATGATGTTCACCAGGGGGCCCAAAAAAATTCACACCGCGCAAGGAAACCAGGGCCCTCGTGCATTTGCCAAGTGAGGCAAGTGGGGGGAAACGTGAAATTCACAAAGGGTGTATCGTGGAGTGGGAAATGTGGCGAGCGGAGCAAGCGCTGATATCCGGCAGAGGGGAAGGGGGCAAGCAACCCACTTCCAGCCAAGCACTTCCACCCATCGCAGAACGCGCCCTATCAATTGATATGTTTCCATATTTTTCCAGAATTGCGCCTCATGTTAATGGGCGGAATGGGTGCTGTTCGAATGGGAATCTCCTTTGAGCTCCTGAAACAAGCCGTTCAACTATCTACGAGCCTGTCATGAGACGGGCTGCGATTGCATCTTGTATCGACTACACGGCAACATGACTTCAGTCGAGAGTCAATCGTCGCCAAGTCCGATTTGTTCAGGTTGTATGTGGGGCACGGTGCCACCGCTTGAGCCTTTGCTAGGAGAAAGTGGCTGTTACAGCGCCGCATGTGGCCAAAAGTTGAGCGAGCGGGCGGGCCAGGCTGCCAGGCTGGGCAAACGCACGGCCAGAGACACACAGGGACTTGGACCTGAGCAGAACGCGACCTGGGCTCTTTTGGTCTTGAGAACCCATCGGAGAACGGTCTTGTGACCAGCCGCTTTGATTTAGACATGCAATACTTTCTGGAGGCACTGGTGGCAGACTAAACAATATGTCCGCTCAATTATTGGGAGCAGAAAAACCGCGCATGTGAGTAGCATGGATGACACGTGCAGAGAATGTGCAGGCGCTGCGCCGAAGCCGACGGGGCCCAACGAAACGCAGATTACACAGAGGACCCACACTTCAGCGTCCCACATTGGAAGCAATACTTCTTTTGTTAGGCGCCACTGAAGCCCCCACCGATATTGTAAGGCCTAGCATGACGCAAGCAAGCTTCAAGTTGCAGAGAAGCAGACACGGCTGGCAGCCCTATGCCGCAAAGCGAGGATGACTTTGGATTCGCACACCTGGCCAGTTTGTCAGCACGTGCGGAAGCGCAGTGCGTTGGGACATGGGCCTTTAATGTACGACGTGGTCCGTTCTGAAGGGTATCAATGTGTCCTTCCCGCCATAGTTCGTCAGGGCCGACCATGCTTTGTTCTGAACAGGGCGGATGAGGTTGTGAATTCGTAGACCTTGCAGTATCACAGTGCCCTGGAGAGCCTTCAAAGCAAGAACCCTAAGGAACAGAATGGAGCCAGCCGCAAAGAACCTGCCTGAAGATCCAGAGCCACCCAGTGGACAAGAAACATCCACGCTGAGCGGAGAAGAGCCGAGACACAGAAATCGCCCACCCAATGGTGTGAAGTCTATTTTTTCGCCATATGACCATCGGTCAACACCAATGATACCATTTTGGGGTGGGTGGTGTCACTGGGGGTAGGGGGTGTTGACCCATAGCCATATTGAGAAGCCTCAGCCTCAAGAACCCATACCAAGACCTTCCAGCCGCAACTCCTCACCCAGTTTGCGGTACCTTAGCAGCCAGGAGTTTCTGGAGGAGTTGGCACACAGAGCAAACACAAGGAGGTGCTGCTGAATCTTCCTGTTGGTATGGATACAGGATACCGACAGTAGTATCGCGAATCCCTCCACCACCCAATGGCAGACAAGAAGGTGCTATTTTTTTGGGGAACCTCCCTGCCCACTTCCATGATTGGAAAGAGGGTCCCAAATCAAAACACTCCTGCTACCATGTCCTTGCAGGAATTGTAGCTCCGAAAGGCTCGCTATGTGAATGCCCGCTCCGTAACGGCGCCTGAGCCAACCACCAGCTAGTCTGTTCCCTATGGCAGAACCCTGGAGGAAAACCATGAATATAATGTCTGACCAATTCGGATGAAACTCCTTGGGTGCATAATAATGACCGCGGATCGCCAGTTGCCGTTTTTTTTTCCCAGCAACTGTATAGTGTGCTGTACAACCTGATGCTTTGCCATGCATCACAAGCATCGGGTTCGGACGCACACCCGCGAAATTTTACCAAGCCTGGGAATTGTTTGGTTGTATGGGTCACAAATAAACCACTAGCGTACTAGTGGACCCCAGGTTTTGGTCCTTGTTTCCGTTTAGCAGGGCAAGCCATTTTGGGCTGATGTTTGCCCCACACCCAAATTAACGGTTACATAACTACCCTCCCACCAGCTAACACGGAAGTGCATAGACCGCTGCATAAAGACGACTTTTCTTGAACTGGAGCTTTGTGCACTTCCATGTTGGTTGCGAGGGTGTCCATTTACCCGAATTGTGGGGTCTATTTTTGCCCCACACCCATATGAACGGTTACATTCGTCACCCCCTCCCACGCTTTTCACATGGAACTTGACGTTCGGGGAGTCCTGGACAGGGACCGGTGGGAGGGCCTTGCCTCCCATTAGCATGGCACCTGAGAGTACCTGGAAGATGAATTTCCTTCTGGAGGGATTGGGTACCGAACGTCAGATGCCATGGCAACGTGGGAGAGAGGGTAACCGCCACTTGCCAGCATTTTGGGGTTACCCTATTTTGCACCACCACACCCAAATGAATGTTTTGTTTTGTTTGAACGGCAGGAGGAACTCCTGTGCCAACATCGCGTGAATGGTTACATTAGTTCCCCCCCCTTCCCCCATCCCTCCCCCCCCACTCTTTGACCGCCGCCAACCGCCAGCCGCCAGGTCCGCCCGGCCTGGAGGCATCGCCTCCGCGGCCACGGCACCTACCGCCCCCGGCCGCAGATCGGCACGGCCCGGCGCCCAGCCACTTTTTCGGTCCGCCGCTTTTTGGGGGTGGCTTGGTTCGGGGGCTTGGTTCGGGGGCTTGGTTCGGGGGCTTGGTTGGGGGGCTTGGAGAGGCTTGGTTGGGGGGTTTGGTTGGGGGGGGGGGATCAACTCGAACTCCCGGTGAAAGGCTGCCGGTGACCTTCCGCCTCCGAATCGCGGGGTGTTCGGCACCTTCTTTTTGCACGAGCTGAGTCGCTAAGGCGGTGTGGGACACGGTCCCTGAAGTTGAAGCCAAGCGGCAGCAGTATGACAATGCCAGGACAGGAGGCTGAAGCTGGTTTTGTGAAGAGTCCCTTGAGCACTGTTGCCGTTTTTTCCAGGCTGTACATGTATGTAGCTTTTGGGCTGGTCGCACATGCAAATGTAGGTCGAAGAGGACCATTTTCAAAGGCAAGTTGGGAAGCAAAAATACTAAAGAAATAAAGAAGTCGTAGAGGGGCAGCTTTTTTTCTTCGCGGATTTGCCCCCCAGTTGGCGGAGGTTGCCGGACTTGCGGTATTTTGGCAATTCCGCGCTTGTGCAGGAGTCAACTGGACTCGAAGTTCTACCCCGTGGAGCCTGGGAATTGCATGGTGCATGTGGGCTGTGCTGGGTATCCTCTTTCCACGAAACAGCTTGATCTGTGTGGCAAGCATCAAGGGTGCTGCATCACGCAAGCCATTTGCAGCTCATGTGCCAGTCTCTGGTCGCATCAACCACAAATCAATGTAACGGTCACGCTTGCGGAGATGCTCATTTTTCTTGTAGGGCCAAGATGCGGTGTTTCAAGTACGAGTTCTTGCTTGGGTCATGTTGCCGTTGTCCAAGACCCGGAAGCATGTGCCAAGTATGAGGCGCGTTGACCTACAGTATCAGTTGGCTCAAGTTACGAGGCTGCAGGTAAAGTGCCATGCAGCTTCAATGATCGGTTTCTCTTCGAGAGCCTTTCGGTCGAGCCGGCTTTGCTGCCAAGGGGTCGATCATGTGCAAGCCACATCTTTCTCGGGTTTGGTGCCCCATTCTTTCAGGCATCCTTCCTTTCAAGTACTGTGGACAAAATCCTGGACCAGTTGGGATAGATCAGCACCTAGAAAGCTTGCTGTTCAGTAGGGAATGAGAGGCTTGGAATGACCCCGATGTAACCATCCCTTGCTGGTGGTTTCCCTTCTTCGGGCACCAAAGCAACTGGGTTCATTCCATTTCTCATTCCCTACTCATCGCACCCCCCCTAACAAGAAAACGCCACGCACTTAGTTGCACTGAGAGCGAGTCGCAAAGACAAAGACCTATCGCACCAGCCAGAAATCCCCCCCACACCGACGCCACCTACCCCACTGGCCACGTCCCAAGCGCAAAAAAAACCTTCAGGAGCCGATCTCTGCGCGGCCCCTGAAGCGGCCAAAGACGCCGCCGGACTCCACTCGAGATAAGGGGGAGGCAGGAGGAGTCTAACACAAATGGGAATGGGTCAATTAAAACCACCAGGATATGGACCGCAGGTGTGACGATCCCTGTTCCTCGCTTTTCTTTTTGGCTTGTGGGCGTCGTCGCGTCGTCCATTTGTCCAGTTAGCAAGCTCATCTTGGCTTGCTGCTGCGATAGCTACGGAATCACCTTCCGGGTTTTGGGATTGGGCCTTCCCCTCAAAGGAAGCAACAGGGGATGCTTGAAATCGGGTTCTCATTCAATTTTCATTCCCTGCGTATCGAACCAGAGGATCCATTGGCGTGCGCCCCAGGCATTGCAGCGTGGAAGCAAGAATGCCCGCAGAAAGATGGGCCTGGCCATGCCAATGTTAGATTCAGGTGGTGCCCTCTCGGCCCCCCCCCCCAGAACCAGCAAGTCGAAGACGACTCGACGCGGATCGATCGAGGGCATCCGGCGAACCAACTTCATCCCCGCCAAGCAGCGGTCCATCCACGAGTCCTCCAAGCGGTGCTTCTCGTGGGCCGGGCGCTCAAGATCTAGCAACAAAAACTTGCGGCTCATGGGAGAATGGCTCACTCCCCGAGTTTCTGGACTTTACTTTTTTTGGGTTTGGACCATTTTGGTTTTTCAGATGAACAGTTCAGACTTTAGCCCATCCGAGAAAGTGAGAATAGGTCCATCTTCTCTGTTTCTCACACCTGTTGGCACTGCCTAACACTGGGAGAAACACCAAGGTGATGGTGCGAGGGTGCCAAACGGGCAGGTGTCAAATCCAGATTTCAGTTGGGATTCCTTTACATCTCGGAAGGCCCAAAGAACACGGAGCCCTTTGACAGGTTCTGATGACCAAAGGACAATCATGTAGCATCTGATTTCGGACCCCATTTGTGATACAACGAAGTCACCCATGGAAACAATCTGACTCGAAGGAACCCATTTAAGTTGGAGCCTGTTTGGGTGTGTCTTTTTGCCGGGGAATTCCCCCAAAAGGTGAGTTCTCCTTCTGACATTTTCCGTTGAAGGCCCACCCAAAAAGAGAGAGGTGTACCCCACATGAAGGATAAGACAAGCTCATTCAGTCGACGATTCCCATTAAGTCGGACCCGCTTTGTTGTTTCCATCGATCGCCATGGCTGAGGCCCCCAGGACGCGCGCGCGCGCGCGCGTTTTTGCTTCCCATGGTTGGCTGAGGCGAGGAGCCAGGCCACCGGCTACGAGAACCCCGTGCAGTGGGAGAAGGCGATCCGATGGACCAATGGATCGGATCGCACGGACTGTGACTTCTGTGAGGTTCCTTTGCTCACCAAGTCTTTTAGCATTGGGGGGGTATTTTACCCCCCCCACTTTTCCAGTTGCCAGCATTTTGGGGTGACCCTATTTTTGACACAGCCTATGAATGGTTGCACAATACTTACCCGCCCACCCTTTTCACATGGAACCTCATGTTCCGTCAGGGATCCGGGCCCCGAACGTCAGGTTCCATGTAAAGAAGGTGGGAGGGTACCTTGCCAAAGAGGGGGGGGCTATGCAGCAGGTTCGAATCAGGTGTCCTTTTGGTTGTCCTGGTAGAAGCATAGATGGCCCTGGTTCGCCTGGTGGTGTAGTTGCCAGGGCCATCTTTTTCCCTAGG